TTGGGTAGCATGCAATAGACCGATATTTGCGAAACCGAGTGGCGGCGTTAAGTTTGAGGGGCACTGCCATTGTGTTAAGCACAATGAGAATACTTCGGCAAGCCCACACCAAAACTCAGTTTGTATTCTTGCAACTCTTTATATTTTGCTTGGCCATAGTACCTCCAGGAGAAGGGTTTTCGAGGACTCTTAGGACTTCTAAGATGCAATTTGGTTGTTCTAAATAGCATTATTGAGTGAAATAACCTAAACGTTCACTAGCTTGATCACACGTTCAGGGAATCTGCCTTTGGCGTTTTCACAATAAAAAAAAAAGTCTGCGGTTCTTAAACTAATTATTAGAAGAAGAAAAAAAGAAAAAACAAGGCTCAGTAAAAAAAAAAACACATATATATATATATATAGGCATATAATATGCGCGAAATGAACATAGAGTGTGTCCAATGAAAAGGGAGATAGATACATGTTACAATTACAATAAATCTAAACAACCCAACATAGCTAAGAGTGCTGTTGATCTAGTGTTAATATCATTCCTGAGAACTGTAACATTTGGAGACAACGAATTTTCTAATAAAGTTGGTGACAATCATTTCTGTGCCGACATTAAAAAAGAATACGAGGGATTTATAAACCATTCACGAACCAAATAATATTTTTGTGATGGACAGGTTGTGGTGGCTACTACTGCCCATTGTATCAAGATAAATGCCACCGTCAATGCAGGAGCGTCGGGCGAAAGTAAGGCTACTGCGGGGGATTTGTGAAAAAGACCCGCTCTGTGCCATGAAATAAGCGTCAAGTCGAAGAAGACTACGTCAATCGATACAGCAGAAAAGAATGACTTCTGCAGTTTCTCCAATACAAGCAGTTTGCTGGCTTTCCCGTCAATGCACATGAAGTAAAGACAGCTGAATAAATAACATCTGGGACTAGTATTTTTTACTCTTTTGTACTACTTCTGCGGCTCGAACCTATATAAAAGCGTGTACACGTCTTCTTCACTTTGGCATGAACGCAAGGAGACCGTGACCTTGATGTGACTGCGATACACTATAATCACTGACAAGGTCGGAATGGCAGGGCGTATATCTCTTTCAAGCGCCGGGCCTCGATCCGGCACGCGCTCGTGGTCTTCCGCCGTGCTTTGGCAGCGCGTGCACGCTCGACGCTCACGGGACTGCGAAGAATTACCGAAGGTGGGAAGCTCGCGCTGGACGCAGGACGATTGAGGCTACTCCCTGCGATTCTCAATGCGTATGCGACTATAATATTCGAAAACAAGTCCTTCAAGCATAGGCGTCGTGGTTGGCGTGGTGAATACCACTGACGATCGCCAAGAGGGCTAGGTGATCAGTAAAGTGGGTAAGCGAGGTGGACGTTTATAAAACAATCCAACATGGCGCGTACGTGGATACTGCCAAAGTGGGATTTCGCATAACGCAGTGATGGAAGCGGCGTTTGACCTCTTGTAGCAGGCTCTGTAGCAGGCAGAATATTGGTTTGGAGCAGCCACTGACGTTTATGGAGCGGATGCTAACATTTGTTAGCACATCACTTGATAATGATAAAGTGATTGCATCTCAATGAGTTCATTTATGATAGTGATCAACTGTTCCTTTTAAATACACGAACATATTACTTATTAGCGTTTATGATAAGAATGAATAGGGCATAGAAGGAAGACAGTCTTCTTAAATAAGGCTCTAGTGAGAGTAGGTCTGATTTACAATGGGCACTAATAAATGGTTGAAAAGTGAATCGTAGCGTAATACCTCATGGGATAAATCCTGTCTGCCCTTTCCACTTTATACTCAGTAGTTTGTTTAGCCTGTAAATATCATTTCTATAAAATGCCAGCAAGAAACAGTATAACCGCTAGCATATCTACTAATAAAAACACTTGCCGTAAGCTTAATGAATCTACCAAACTCAAGATTCTAATAATATAAACTGCAAAAACAACCACCCGAAAATATTACAAAAGCCTACACTTGCGCTGTAAAGGTGACACTGCTCTTTAGCAGCGTAGGAACTAGAGTTACGTCAAAGTTCGCTGCTATTCCGATCGACAGCTTCACGGAGACTACCGTGACTAGTGTACGTATTTATTCAATTATATATTGACCCTTGTATTCTCTATCTTTCTGCGTTTTTTGTGTTTTTTTTTTTTTTAGAGATTAACTCACAATTAGGACAAAGAAGTTTGCCCTGTAATAATCCTGAGCATAACTAGCCTGCCTATCGCGCAATGCCAGGCGCTCCCCCGGGTCAGTCTCTGCTCCTAGCACTCCGGTGCAAGGCGGTGAGGCTCGATGCGCGCACGCTGGTGAGAGGCGAGGTTACACAAGCGGCGCAAGTGCCACGCTACTTGGCAGACACGGAACGAAAGTATGAGGCAGACACGATGATCATGTGATCTTATCAAGAGTACAAGAGCCTGGTTCCGTTTTGTCACAGTAGCCGCAATCGGCAATCCTACTATTTTGCAACGTTTTCTCGCGACTCTTAGTTGCTGACATCGACGACATCGTCTGGACATTTAGATGATATCAGCGATCAACCAGCCAGTGGATCAAACGGCCAGTGCGGTTGTTGCCCAGCATCAAGGGCTCTAACCGGTTGATTCACAGCAGTGTTGCGGAATGGGCACCCCCATTCCATTCCAATTCCATTCCGGGGAATTAGAGTTTTCGATAATTCCATTCCTTTCAACTCCTAGGAATGGGGACACTGGGCCCATTCCCGTCCTGGAATGGCTGAGTCGCTCCATTCCATTCCTCCAATTCCTAAACGTTAAAAGTGTCACTTGACAGCTGCTATACGTTGCAGGGTTGGGCAGAAATGTTCAGAAATGTATTTGGAAATACAAATACTGGGATAGATGAAAATAGTTGCTAAGATACTGATACTCAAGTCTCAAATATATCTATAAAAATGTATCATGATACGTATCGGAAATACATTTTAAAAAGAGGCAAAAAGTCTTTGGAAATGCAAATATAAGAAGACATTTTAGGGAGGGCAGAAATATAAATACTGATAATGCAATACATTTTTCAAATTTCTTTGAGACGTTAACTGAGATGAGGCTTTAAGTTTAAAGTGGAAGTTTTTAGTTTTTTTTTTTTTTGGTTTCGAAATTACTTTTTCGCAGGATTGGCACTTCGCATTGAAGGTAGTGGTTCCGGACGAAGAGTCCTAAATGGGTTTAAAAAACGTTCCATCAAGGATTGACCGCGGTCCCTTCTCTGGCATCCTGTCTGACCAGCGATGCGAAAAGATTTTGACCTCTAAATAAATTTCATCGAAACATCACCACTTTCCTGTCCAACAGGGGCGCCCCTGTCAACACTGATCACATGACGTCATGTTGGGATCTGAATCTGTAGGTGTTGCCTTGATCATGAAACTTTAGCCACGCTGCTGTATGAAAGGACAATACATACTTTCGTTGTAGCTGACCTCGTTGAAGACCACGCAGGCAGTTGCATTTGGAATTTTCGAGAAAAGTGGACCACCTGAAGCATCCTGAAGCACATGTATTATCTTTTGTTACGGCTGAAAAATCGATATGGTGGCATCCCTGTTGGGACGGTCCTTCCTGCCGACTCTCGGCCTCCAACGCATGAATGGCAGTCTCCAAATTTTGCCTAGCATCATTCAAACAGAGACCTCGTGGATTGCGACCTGAGATGGCCGGCACAGGTGCGAGCTCTCCGAGAAACAGCGCGCTCGAGACGAGTCGCAGGTGTACGAAGTCTGGGTCCGCACAGCGAGGCCACGCCTGGCCTCCTTCCCGGGTATCGGATCACCAGAGCAGCAGGTCACGTTCACGCCGGCTGATGACGTACCAGCCGTGCAATATTACAGGCGCAGACGCATTCGGATATGTGTTGAACTTCACTGGTGAAAGGCGCCACCGCCGCCCCCCCTCCCCCCCCCCCCCCCTTTCCCTTCCCTCCTCTGTTCTTTGTCTTGGCGCTTGTTCTATTTTTGTATTGCATCTTTTTCTTTTGCGCATAAGTCTGCTAGGGCCTTACGCGGGTTCGCAGTTTCCCGCTCAATTTATTTCTGAACAACCGACTCCCTGACTGGCTCGGTGTAGCTGAACGTAAAAAATAAATAAATAAATAAATAAAATATGAAGAACCTGGCCCATTCCATTCCCATTCCATTCCGGGCAAAAGGCAACAAATTCCATTCCCATTCCATTCCCCTGAACGTTGCCGCCATTCCATTCCCATTTCATTCCGGGGTCGCGAAAATGCGGAATGATTCCGGAATCATTCCAACTCCGGAGTGGCAACTCCGCAACACTGATTCACAGCATCACAGCGCGACATCATGCGCTTTTAGTATGTGTGTGTGTGTTCGAGCCTCCGACTGTGCTCTGACCTAAGACGAAACCAACTATACGGTGAGTAGAGACTCCGTGAAATTCATATTTCTGCAATTTTTTTTTCCTTCTACTTCTGTGAATAATAGAATCGACGAATAACAACTTTTCTTATTTTTTTGCTTGAAACAAAAAAAAATTAAAAACAAATAAAAAAGTTTTGGCGCAGGTGTGGCGCAATTTTTAGCAACAATGGTATTTTGGCGCAAGATATAGCAGACTTTCGTTCATGGCGCGATTGGCCCAGCACTTCCATCAATGATAATGCAAGTAATCTTTGAAAACAAGTTTTTCAAGCAGACGACACGAAGATTCTCTCTTCGTCGCGTCATTTTTGGCGGGACGCCAGGGCTGCCGTCTTCGCGCGGCACGGCCGAAGGAAAGACTCGACGTCCTTTTCCGCGCCTCAAGAGGGGAGAGAAGGGTTTTTCCCTTCTTCGCGTGCGCGGCGACGACAACCGGCGAGGCCAATATATCTCCAAAGTGCCACCCATAAAGCTATCGCTTAAAAAAAAAAAAAAAAAATATATATATATATATATATATATATATATAAAACAATGAAAGATCTACTTCGAGCAAAAGAACCGTTCAGTCGAGATTGATGAAACAATGTTTATTGATGAAACAAACCATATGAACGTAATGACACAACATATTCACACTGTTGCTAAGCAACGAATATTATACATCTCAACCCTTCTGTATACGTGTAGTTAAACACGCCTCATCACAACCTTGTGAAGTTAGAGCTATGAGCAGTGAAAAATATATGTGCATTATGTTCAAAGTTGAAGCTCAACGACAAGCAGTTTTATCGTCTTCGTATTCTCCCTCAGCAAACTTTGCCAAACTTTTTAAGTACTGTACGTTTTATACGGCAGCCTCGCCATGTGAGCGTAACACCGCTATCCCTTTAGGTAGGCCAAGACACGGTCATCCCAAACGGTCCTGACATTTCCATTATGTACCTTTTCTCGCGATTTGGTTCTCAGCTGTCTAAAGTGCGCTAACCTTTCGTTCTGCCTCCTCGCCCTCTGAAGGGAGCTCGAAGAGGAGGATGAGAGTTCTGAGAGTGATCCCCTTATGGCTGTCGTCTTTTGTCTGAGAGACTGCTTTGACATCTGAGCTTGGCTTTTCTTTGAAACCTTGAGCGCTGTCCTGTGTAAGTCGAGGACTCGTCGCCTTCTGTGGAACGCACTGCGATGCTCAACATGTCTGTGCTCCATGGATTTCTCCGAACTGCTTGCAAGGTAGATTGAGTTAGGGCTTGAGTTCCGGCCACCATTCCTGCATGGTGAAGAATATCTTACAAATGTAAACATCTTCAAGAGGCCCATGCATGTGCAGTGGGCAAGGCCACTATAAACAGGCGACCTCATTTGGCCTTCTAGATGAACTCAGAAAAATAAAAATTCAAACTGAAATAAAATTTTTGTTTCTTGTCCACCGACTTGATTAGTGAAAGTTTAGGAATATATGCATCTCGTTCTATACTCTACTTCACCTTACGATGGACCGCACTGGACGCTACGTCCCCGTTGTAAGGTGAAACGAAGTATAGCACACTGATATCATTAAAATGCGTAAGCCTGAAACAGCTGGTTTTATGTCCCTAATACTTCACTATCTTCAAATGATTGTCAATAAAAGAAGTTTGGCAAAACAAATATTAATTTTAATATCAAATGCAAATGCATAGTATTGAGGTTTGTTTTTTTCGAGAAATTTTCGCAGGATGCTGTGACAAATCATGGTTCTTCGATAGGTTTATACATGGATGTCAACACAAAGCTTGAAGCAGTAGGTAATGCAGTTCTGATGTCCTTAAAGCAATATTCAATGTATCGTTTGATTTTTAAAAATACACACCCTGTCTTTAGTAGATCACACCCCTCGAAGATTGGATGGCTGAGGCTTGAACTTGAGGCTCCCCCATCCTAGACAAAAAAAATATAATAAATTGTTCACATTACCTCAAATCAAGACTAACCAAATATTGCAATATTTAATATAAATATGCACCAGTCTTTAAAAGGGTAGACAACTCTGTATAAGAAACTTTACACAATATTGTTTAACACTGATAACTTTCTTTTCTTTTAGTATAACACATGGTGCTAACCAATTATGCGGGATGTTCCAACAATCTTTTAGTTATTTGCCTTTCAAATCAGATTGTAGCTGTGTCATAATGAAATAATTACATAGTCAAGTCAGGCTGACAATTGTTGTGGCTAATGGTTCAATTCTCCCGTGTACCAGGTTCATATAAGTTTGATATTGTGAAAAGATTTTAGAAGTTGATAACTAGAGATGTTTGGATTGATTCTCAATTAGATTGACTATAGAACTTTTAAGATTAGATATTTTACACGGAATGTTTTTAACATCATACATTAAGACGACACTCACTTCGTTAAGTGGAGCCCAATTTGGATTACATGCCAATGTTGATTCTGTGAAGGCATCAATAGAGCACTGTGGAAATAGCTGATCAGCTTTTTGCACCAGTTCATCCATCAGTTTTTCCAGTTCAAAGAGCAAAAATTCCTGAAAAAGCAGTGTAAAATAGCAAGGTAAAAATATTCCACAATTATAAATATTGCTGTAGTTACACTAGCACAGTCTGTAAATCATTATTGTCCTCAATGCAGAATGCATAATATAAACCTCTAAATGTTTGGGAGATAAACTATAGTCTTTTCCATGATTCCACTTCCCAATTTACTGAAAACCTAAGTTTACTTTTAACAGAAAAACAACCAACTTGAAGAAGATGAATTATTAAATTAAAAATAAAATGCTGGATTCCGCAATACCAAAGAAGTTCTCCCAACAAATTGTTAAATGAATCATGATAAGCTACTTCATACACCAGTAAAAAAATGAGAAAATATATATATAATTTCAAGAAAAGAAACAAGCTTTACTTCATTTCAGTTCAAGTCCAGATGCAACCAACGCTAGGAGCTAATGGGACCAATCAAGCAGCATCAATGTGAAAGTCACTAGGCCTTTTCTGTTTATGATTGGTTCAGTGATGACAGAACACGTACTGAAAGATGACGAACACCATGATGGTGTGCTTTTGACGCTGTTCGAGGGGTCCCATCAGTTTGTAGTGTCGGCTGTGTCTGGACTTGGAGGGAAACAAAGTAGAATTTGCATTCTTCATTTTTTTTTTTCCAAAAAGAAACACTCCCTTACACCATGAAGTTTCCTGCAGTCTCCTGAAGGTACCTGTCCGTAAATGCTCTTCCCAAACAAGATGCTGAGCCTTTCTTTCAATCCCATCACCAAGAGCCTGATGTTCATCCCATCAAAAGACCTATGTTTGAAGACTTTCTTCTGTTGAATATTCAATGCTTTCACCTGAAAAAATATGTTAAGTGTGTTGATTACAATTTCCAGAACAAATGTTTTTGTGACTGGAATAGATATTCCAAGAAACCTGCTACTAGTCCATATGAAAGGACTACTAACAACATTCACTAGAGAATGTAAAACAAAATTCCAGCTTCCTAACAGCACATGCATTTGTTGGAATGTTCCTTCATCACTGCTTCAACACTACTAGAACTGAATTCTAAGCTTTTTTTTTAGAAGAGTACCAGGCTCAATACAATGCAATGCACATGACTGTCACTGCATCATTTGAATCTAAGCAGTCTTCATTTTTGCAGGTGGAATTTTAAATCTCTGTTCCTTACATCTAAGCATCTGGAGAAGAATTGTATTTTTTACTTGAACCCCATTCTTTCTTGACAAATGAAACACACCAGTGCTATCCCTGTGTCCAGATACAAAATTGTGCCGGACATCCAAGTGCTCCCATATTTCGTCCCCATACCCTAAAGATATAGTAGACCGATTTTTCGCAATGCTTTTTTTTTTGTTTGAAAAACTCAAGAAACTGCTACATACCGCAGCAAATGTGACAGTTGTTCCAAAGATCCAGGTCCCAATTTGAAGGAGCTCCCCAACATGATTCCAAGGATAAACCATGGTGACTTGGCTGACCAGACCAAAGGATGATGCAATTCCTCTGAAGATTGTGGAGGTAAGATGAACAACTCCTGCTCTAAACTTGGCTTGACTCAGAAAAGAGCCGGATCCCAGGATCACCATCCAACACACCTAAAAAAACACACATGAAATTAAAAATTTTGAACTGAAAAGTTCGTATTTTATGATAATGCAGTCACAATGTTGGCATGAGCTTGGAACTCACACACAAACAAGCCGATTCCTTCCATACTCTGCTGATGATGCTGATGAACTGAAATATCCATGACTGTTTAATTATGTAGAACACCCTCAACAAGCTCAATGTGTTGATGAAAATCAAGAATCCAAGCAAAGTCCTTGAGACCTGGTGGAAAGGAAAACACACCAAAGTTATAAGTGGAAAAGTTAATATCCATGAACTACTTACATGTTGCCACATGACGAGAACCAGAGAAAACTCAAAAATGTTCATCCCTTTATGATGCACATGCCCAAGCAGGTTTTCTAGGGCCACAAACTCAGCAAGACAGCAAGCTATGTAGCAGAGGCCAGTAATGCAAAAGATGACCTGCAAATAAATCAGAGAAGTTGCAAACTTTTATAAAAAAAAAAAACTCAGGACATAAACATCCTGCACACAACAGTTGTCAGGATAGTACAGTAATTATGTAGTAGTATACATCTGTCACAAGTTACCAAAGAAAGAGAAAAAAATATCTAAAAATTACGCATTGAGCAAAAATATAATATATTGTAAAAATAAGTTATCAATAAATAACAGCATCGAATTTAGTAATCATCACGAAAATTCCACATCAATATAGTAGGACTTGTTCAGAATAAGACATATAGAGTCACTCTAAAGTAAACCTATAAAAGAGAGATGCTCTCCAGAATAACATGACTCAAAATAGTTATGTTAAATGAAGACAACTCACTCAAACTTCGCTAGCTAAAGGAACATTTCTAAATATAGAGATTTCAAAGCTACACAGTGAATTTCACATACCTCAATCAGATTCCAAAACTGCAAATATGCCATCCACTTCCCTTTCATAGACTTCCAAATCAGAGTTTTGAAGTTGCAGAGAATCATGAGGAGAATCAGCACCTTAAATGATAATAAAAATAAATTTCCTGACCAGGTGCCACCTCAGACACCCAGGTAGAATCATACCTTAGTCAGATTCCCATGAGTCAAGGCAGCGTGATGAACACGACAGATGTGTAGCTTCAAATGCGCATGAATGCCAACGTTTGCTTCAATAGTGAATCTCCCTGCACTGAAATAGAACCAAGGGTAGAGGTAAAAAAAAATGAAAGCCATTTACAATCCCCTGTAACGCCGAATTAGAGTGCAGCTCTTGAGGAGGAGGAGGGAAGGGTATTGAGGGGAGAAGGTGGAAAGTCCCCCACTACTAACATGGGTGTGAATCAACGTGTGCTTAACGCAAGTCGCAGAAAATGTACATCTTTGGTGAGAGCATTGCGTGTAAATTTGGTAAAAATTTAGCGGGGCAATTTTTTCCCCAAACTTTAGCGGGGAATTTTTTCCACTAGATTTAGCGGGAAAATTTTTTCCACTAAATATAGCAGGGAAATGTTTTCTGCTAAATTTAGCAGGGAATTTTTTCCACTAGATTTAGCGGGGAAATTTTTTCCGCTAGTGACGCCACACTTGACGTCACTGGTGACGTCACTAGTGACGTGATCAGTGACGATGATGTCACATGTGACATCACTGATGACATCACACATGACGTACGTTACTGGTGACGTCATGTGACGTTACTGGTGACGTCACGTGACGTCACACGTGACATCATAAGGACCACCAGTGACGTCAGGTGACGTCATCGTCATCAACACTGATGACATCATTAGTGACGTCATGCGTCCCATAATGCACCGCGCGGTTACGCCGACGGCGACAGAGACGCCGCTCAAGCCGGAAACGGGCACCTAAGAGCTGCGCTCTAAAACACTAGTGTCGACAATCCTAAGTGAACACTATACAACACCTGATAAATTCCAATGCTGGGTTATACAGCTCGAACTGTAGCATCACGCCCTTGATGGTGCCGAGATGTTTGTTTTGCAATCTGTGAGAAGTAGACATTCAGTAAAGAAAACAACACAATTTTAATGCTAGCTTTTTTTTTAATTGGAAGACACATTTGCCTACCTTTCTAATGACGTGCGACAGAAGTTGTCAAAGCAGCCATTTTGGCCACAGGAGTGCTGGCAGTTCTGTTGCAGCTCATCAGGAAACTCTCGAGCAAGAAAAAGTTTGAACGGCACAATGCAATAGCTGCCAGTTTGGAGAAGAAGCTTAACAGATTCATTGCCGCCTAGCAATGGGAGCACACTCTGGGTCAAAAACAAAACATTATCCTTCATACTCTGCTTGCTGACATGATCTGGCCTGAAATAGAGATTCACATAATTAACAAATTACAAATTTCTTTCAAATTGAGGTCCATCTATAAAAGGCAAAATTCATCAATTTGAAAAACTCTTTTATTCAAATACAATTAAAGCACAAAACCTATGTTCACAAATATGATACTACCACAAAGTGAAAAGAAAGCCACAAACAAGAAAAACTAAAAAGAAAATATCAAAACAATGGTAAGAACCTAGGAAGGTTCACTACACATTGCACTAAGTCAAGAATATTCTAGACAGTTTTTATAGGCAATATAAAATGCACAATAAAATAACATTGTGTTGTATTGCCTTATAATAGAGTTATTTTAATACATAGCATCACAAACATTAGGAAAATTTCCCATTTCATAGGTTTGCTATTCATACAGTTCTCGTACAGTTCATACAGCCTGGCTTGAACAAATTACTGATGTGGCAAACATATTAGGTATTACAGTGCTATAAGTCTGTTTGGCTGCAGGGGTGTATATATATTAGGGCTGCACAAATGACCGATTAACCTACCGATTAATCAAATAATTGTTCAATCACAATTAATTTTTCGACTGGTTAATCGGTAAATTTTGATTGAACCTAAAGTAATAAAAATTCAATGTTTTCACTACGCAAATGTGGATAAGTACGCCTGTATGAAAGAAAAACTTTAGGTGTTTGCCCTAAAGTAAACTGTAGGGGCAAGATTTGTAACTTGAGACAATTGAAGAAGGTTTGCGACTTGTCCCGCCCACGTCAACTTCGTTCGACTGTCCGTTTAGCGCAGCAGAGACAATTGTGAACAATCAAGGGAGGTTACCCTTGCAGGAGAATATCAACGAACCTCTTTGCCTCATGCAACTCAAGTAATAATTTGTGAGCGTGTGTGTCTTTGAGCTGTTCTCAACTACACATAGAGGTTGATTCTAAATACTAATTGTATATTGTGCTGTTTGTGAAATATTTACAAAAAGCAAAAAAAAAACATAGATATATTTTTCTTCTTTCTATATTTACATGAAACTTAACGAGACAAATTAATCGATTGAGTAATCAAGTAAAGGTGGCTATTATAAACATGTTAGAAGTTTTAGCGATGCCCAGCCCTAATATACTGATGTCTTCAAAGGTTTTAAGGCAATATATACACTGTTTAAACATTAACTTTAAGTAAATGCAGCTGTAAAGCATCAATCATCTTGATTCGACTTTCATACTTTCTATTCTTCAATGCGCAGATAAACTCAAAATTTGGGGTGCTTGACAAAATTAACATGATAAATAATGTAATAACCTTTCAGAAAAATGTATTTCAAATTGCTCTGTAGTTCTGTTGCTACGTGAAACGTTCTTCGTTTAGCGCTAGTAACCTCCAGGCATTTCTTTTCGAGCTCTGCTTCCCCACCCATTGACAACACCCACTCCCCTTTACCCCATTGACTCGTTGACTCCATCCACTCAACCCCATTGACTTCACCCACTCTTCTCTACCTCATTGACCAATCAGCAGTTAGATCTGCCCCAAGGTCTCCCTACTCGTCTCCACCCCATTCGCTCAAGCCATGCGACGTAATTTTCCCCGCTAAATTTAGCAGGCGTAAGGATGTCACATGGCTTGGTGTCCCGTGACCGACACACAAATTCGGTTTTCCCACTAAATTTACCCGCTAAATTTAGAGGGGAAGTTCATAGTTGCGCTTTTTTAGGCTTTACTTAATCTGGAAACCTAACCGAAAAACGATTCACAATAAAAACTGATAAACGCTTAGCTCAAAACACAAGTGTGTAGATACCTTCTAAACAAATTGGCAATGCTCTTGTGTTGACGATAGTGCAGTTCTGATGTCCCACAGAATGCTGCCATCAGCAGAACAGCCATGAACATAAGACATACTGTACAATACCTGAAAAAAGTATGAGGGGAGAAAGGCAACAATTTAGCAAACTTTGATACATACATCACTGTAAAAATCTGTACTTTCCAACAGGGTGGGAAAATATTATGATCTTCTTTTTAATCTCGTAAATGAAATTTATTTTATTTAAATCAGATTTATTTTATTAGAATCAAATTTCTTTTATTTAAATCAGTTATTTTATTTGAATCAGTTCTTTTATTTAAAGCAGATTAATTTGCTTTAAATCATTGTAGCAATAAGGAAACAGTGATTCTTGAATATTATCTTTTTCTTAAACATGGCAGATTGGTTTATTTACTAGTCCAATCATTGAAAACAATGTAAAAGAAAGAGTATACTGTAAGCTAAAGTGCAGTTTGATTAGCAACTTTTTATTGATTTAAACAGCCATACTAAAGCAAAAGCAACTTGATTTTTTAAAGCCTTTTTTGGTTTTTTATTTCACATTCTGATTTGCTTGCCAATCACATGTTGCAGAACTCACAAAGATGAAAGGAAAGCTCAAAGCTCTAATTTTCTCAGAAAAGCACTTCTTTTTTCTAGTGCTCAGCCTGACATAAACTTTCCCTGCTTGATAAATGTTTTATTTAAATACAAAACAAATGCACACAGCATCAAATGACAGACAAACGGCAAATGAAAAGATACTTTAGGATCATTTTTGTGAGAAGGTAATGCTAATTTCATTTAAATCACAATATAAACCATTTTGATTTCTATTATCCATCCTGCTTTCAAGCACTAAAAACTATCATTTGCCCCATAAGATCCACAAATCAAAATATCAAGTTAGCAAGGAGATGTTTTATCTCAAACAAAGAAGTAAAAATAACTTTAAAAAAAATCTCACTCAAAACTGTATCGAGCCACCTAACAATTTTTAATTACTCCAAAAATAGCTTGTCTCTAGGCAACCAAGTACTCTAGGAGGACCCAATGTCTTTTTTGGTTCATAGGAACCCCAAGAACAGCATTCCCAAGCACTCTTATGAGCACAATTGATGACTGGTCTGATCGAGGACAATCTTCCAAGTCAAGTTTCTATGTGCATGCATGAAGGAGTTAAAAAACAAGAGTTAAAGGGCTTTGAATGTAGATTTGGAAGCAACTCAAGACTGAGAAATATGAAAGGAGACACGAAGAGAAGAGAAAAACAACATCTCAAAAAGAGCTAAAATTTTATTGCGGACAGAACCCTTTATATAAGAGTGGAACAAACTGAAAGAAGGGGAAAGACCTTCCCCACTCACACCACTCTTGTTTGACACAAAGCAATGAAACAACTTCGGACCCTCCACAATGGGGTCCCCTGGATCCCATTGTGGGAGAACAATGCCAGCAGGGGCAGACCTATGACTGAATGAAAAGACCTTATGTGGTTACCTCACAAACTCCTAAAATAACGACGTAAAAAAAAGACATAACACGCACTACTGAAACTAGAGATTCAGAAAATGTGTTCAATCTGCTTCCAAAGACGACGGCTTAATTACAGCATTTCCATGTTTGGTAATCGCAATTGCTTCCTTCAACAGGCGCTTGTAGTCGTTTTTGTTAATATCGTGGATGTTGAGTTTCATAACGGAACAACAATTATTACACTCTTAAGTGTGGTTAGAAGCTTCAGAATACTGATCTTTTTTCCCGACCCATAACTTATGTTTAACCATCTTATCATTTATATGTTTTGTTTGACCTAGGTGGCATAACCCACATCCAAAAGGGATCTTGTAGACCTCACCGGAAACACATGTGACAGATTTCTCTCTGTGTTTCTTGATGCAATATCTTTGAGGGGAAGCGAAAGGAGTAGCACGTTTCAAGCTAATATCAGTGCTAAATGCATTGTGTAAACCAAACATATCACTGATTGATTTCAACTTGTGATATATTGATTTATTTATTTAAATACCCTCAGGGTCAATTGACATTAAAGAGGGGAATGGGAGTAACAAAATAACCGACAAAAAGAAACAAAAGGGCAGAGTACATAAGGTATCATGGTGGCTCAGGACAGTAAAGTGTGTTTACAGCATTTTTAAACATTTGGCTATCAACAATATGAAGTCGGAAGTTGATTTCATTCAAAACCAGTTTTAGGGACGAATGACTGTAGAAATGCATTAGTACTACATTTACAAATTTTAACTTTGAGGTGACGATCGATGCGAGGTGGAAAGTAGAACGGTGGGATGAAAAGACATCGCTTTAAGTACGGGTTAGCATGATAGATCTTGTGAGAAAGACACAAATGAGCAACTTTACGTCAGAGAGAGAGAGATTAGGCAAAGACAAGGTGATTTTTATGGAGCTTAGACTTGCAGTTATTTTATTTTAGGAGTTTGTGAGGTTAATACATGAGGCCTTTTCATTTAAGGTCATAGGTCTGCCCCCGCTAGCCTTTTTCTTCCAGTGTTATCTCTGTTACAGTCCTCTAAGGTGTGGAGGGTCCGAAGTCATTTCATTCCATCGTGTCAAACGAGAGTGGTGTGAGTGGGGAAGGGCCTTTACCGTTCTCTCAGTTTGTTGAACCCTTATTAGAGGCGTTCTATTTGCAGTAAAATTTGAGCTATGTTCAAGACATTCTCCTTCTCTTCTCTTAGTGGCACCTTTTATATTCCTTAGTCTCGGATTGCTTCAAAATGTTCAATACAGTAGCTTACTTGTGCCCTTACATTGTTTGTTTTCAATGTAGAGCTAAGACTGCATTGCATTTACAATTCAATAAAAAGTTACAAAATCAAAGGCTGTAAAATGACACTCACCGGAGAGCCTCTGTGGCTTCAGCGGTAAGTAGGAACCGTTTCCTCGCCTGGATGAGGGAATATTCCGAGGGGTGGCGGAGGTAGTTCAGAGCCGCTGATTTTCTGGGCTCCAGGGTGTGAAAGTTGGGCCTTGAACCAGCTTCGCGTTTCTTTGTGGAGCCACAAAGATCCTTCACAAGCCGCCTGAGTGCGGCGTCACATCTGCATCGCAGCACGACGAAGGCACCGAATGGTCGAAGGCACGACTGTGCGGTGAAGTAAAGGGAGATCACAAGGACCTGAAACAAAGTACACAGAAGAAAAATGAACGCCCATGTTAACTCTCTCCTTACCATGCCGTCTAAACTGTTGATTGCTTACACACAGTTGAACGAGCCTATGTCTTCCAGCTCTGGTGTTCAGAACTGAAAGACTGGACACAAGATGGATGTATTCAGCTGAAAGTGTATTCAAATAAAGGGCACCTTGCATCTAGCTTTAAGTAGCAGCGATTTGCATCCATTTCAAGAGGCTACTTAAATTCATCTGGTTTTGCAGTATCAAATATGCAAACAATTGTTTGTACAGCTTCATTTCTACTGAATGATTAGAAATGGCAACAGCCTATTTTTAGCAATATATAAAAACACTCCAAATAATACCAATAATTGTGCAATAAGTGATGCGTATGTGTCACTCCTATCTTGCCAATGTGTAACAGTGTGCTTTAAAAAAGCACCTTTAAAGCAGGTGAATGCAATACATGTAGCACTGCACTCAACTACCTCCAATCTACAGTAAACTCTCATTTGAGTGAATGTCGGTTTAACAAATATTTCTAAATAACAAACTTTAAAAAATTCCCCCAGCGGTTTTACAATGCATTCAATGCAAAAATGTTTTAGCTAAATGACAAATGAATATGGAATAGCGAATATTTCAGTTCAACAAGCTTGATCGGTGGGCCCAGGATTATTTTTGCAATCAGTTCAACGAAGCTTTGTGCTCTGCAGTGCTGGCATAGCCGATGACCGCTGTTACGTTGCTACCGCCTCTGCAGCGCCGGCGTATCACCGCTGGCGTTTACAGCGCCACCGAGGCAAAGTGGCGGTACGCTAGACGAAATCGAAACATGTGGTGTGTCTGTTTTTTCTTTGTCATCGGTTCCGTTCGGCCATCTTAGTTTTGGGTATAGCAACGGCAGGACGGCAGTTTGTGCCCTCACTTTCATAATGAGTATGACGAAACGGAAGCGCTTGTCTCTACCAGACAAGCTCAAAATCCTTCAGTGTCTGGACAACGGTCAAAGGCAAGTGGACAATGGTCAAAGGCAAAGAAATCTCTAGTAAAATCCTTTGTCTACTCTTCCAACAATCCCTAGCCACAGGCCAAATTCCCAGCGATTGGAAGATTGGCAAGATTATCCCGATCCACAAAAATGGAGACCGTAGCCTAGTTGCAAACTACCGCCCTATATCCCTGACGAGCGTGGCATCCGAATTGCTCGAGCACATCATATTCTCCCACACAGTATCTCATCTAGAAAATAACAATTTTTTTTATGTGAAGCAGCATGGTTTTCGTAAAGGGTTTTCGTGCGAATCACAACTAATAGAATTCTATCACGACATTCACATAAACATGAACCAGTACACTCAAACTGATGCCATTTTCTTAGATTTTTCCAAAGCATTTGATCGTGTTCCTCATTGTCGACTACTCGCTAAACTCTCTTCACTTCACATTGACTCCCCACACTCTAATGGATACGTAACTTCTTAACGCTACGACGCCAATATACAGTATGCGGTAATTACCAATCTAACATGTCTGATGTAATTTCTGGGGTGCCACAGGGAACTGTGCTCGGGCTTCTTCTTTTTTTAATATACGTGAACGACTTACCCCATTCCATCTCGTCCAAAATAGGCCTCTTTGCGGATGACTGTGTTATTTACAGGCAAATCACTACTCCCGATGATCACATAATGCTCCAACAAGACCTAAACTCCATCAGTGCTTGGTGTGACAATTGGCTTATGTCTCTTAATGGTTCAAAATGTAAGGTAGTGTCTCTCAGTCGCAAACAATCGCTATCACTTCATTCATATCTTTTGTACAATTCACCCCTCTCAGTCTCAACCTCTTACAAATACCTTGGTGTTCATCTTTCTGACAACCTATCCTGGACTAACCACATCGACGCCATTACAAGTTCTGCATCCAAAACACTGGGATACTTACGACGCAACCTTTTCTCTGCACCCCCCCATTTACGCAAGTTAGCATACGAGACCTATGTTCGCCCTATACTTGAATTTGCTTCCGTTGTATGGAACCCCCACCAGAAATACCTTATCAATCAGATCAAAAGCATCCAAAATCGTGCAGCTTGTTTTATAACATCAACCTACTCTCGCCAAGCAAGTGTCTCCCTTCTTAAAAACTCTATCCTCTTACAACCACTTGAAACACGTCGCACCGCTGCCCTTTTATGCATCATTCATAAATCACGCTATTCTAACCCTAACATTATCGCCCCCCTGCTTGAGCCTCCTAACCGAACATCTCGTCGTTTAACTAACAGCCGAAGTTATAAGCGCATTTTCGGTCATACATCTGCCTTTAATAACTCCTCATTACCACGCGCAATCATGCACTGGAATTCTCTTTCCGATCACATAACCGCACTTTCCAACCCTACAGCATTCCGAGTAGCTGTCTTAGATTTTTTAACTACTATTTAGTTTTAGATTACAGTGATGTTCTTGCCCACATAATGAAGTGTTATATGTGCTTGGACCCTACAATTTGTATAATGCATAATTTTGTTAAAGTGTCGTTTCAGTTGTGATATTGCTATCCTGTTGGTACTGTTTTGTTTTTTTTTTAAGTGTTGACTATACTGTAACCTGACCAAATCCCCCCCCTTGTGTAATGTCCAGTAATGGACCTTCAAGGTATCATGAATAAATAAATAAATAGACATTGCAAAGGACTATGGGATTCCGCCATCGACATTGTCAACGATAGTAAAGCAAAAGTTGAAGGTTGAAGGAGAGACTGCGTTCAATCTCAACAAGAAACGACTCTGCACGGGACATTTCAAGCCAGTGGACGATGCCGTTGAAGTATGGCTTTGTCACAGCAAGAAGCTGTGCCAGAGGAAATGCAAAAATACATAGACTTTCTGGACAGCTTTGATACTTTATGCCCTTTAAGAAGACCAGTGCAAATGAAAATTATATTTTTTTTTTTCAAAATTTGAAAGGCAGCAACATAACTGTTACATACTTTGTATATATTGATGTACATGACTCCATAAATTGCGTTTCACACTTTCGATGATGTATGCTGTGCCCTATGCTGTTCCATATTCTAGTGTATATATTCAGTTTAGTGAACTTTCAGTTAACTATTTCCTTGGGACCCTTGAACTTTGCTCAAGTAAATGTTTACTGTATTAGAAATTGTTCCATGTTATTTCCTCATTCTACAGGAGAAATCTTCCAATAAAATGTTAACTACTTGGTCAAAGCACATTATTTTTATTTATTTACCAACTCATATGTTAGTAAGATCTGTTTGCCCTCTTTGCCTCTATCTTCAGCTACATATCATTATTCCAGAATGACAAGAGTCTACTTACCTGAAGTGGGTATACCAGGAATACAGACGATAGGATGGTGAGAATGATGAGCTCGAAACAGAGGATGTTTGAAAGTACCCAAAACCTGGAAAAATCGGTACACCGTCATATTACATATATTACCCTCAACATGTGCCTGAACCTAATAAAGGCAATGATGATGAAAATGTAGAAAAAAAAGGAACGACATTTACAATCCCCTGTTATGACGAATTAGAGCGCAGCTCTTGAGAAGGATGAGGGGAAGGAACGGAGAGGAGTGCATGTCCCTCCTCCTCATCCGTACCCTCCCCTCCTGCTTCTCTCCACATTTAGCGGAAAATTTTCACTCAATTTTCCGCTAAATTTAGCAGAAAAAATTCTCTGCTAAATTTAGCAAAAACATTTTCCCGCTAAAGTTAGCGAGAAATTTTTTTTCGCTGAATTTAGCAAGGAAATTTTTCCACTAAATTTAGTGGGGAAGTTCTTTCCGCAAAGTTTAGCAAGGAATTTTACCTCTGCAAGAAAATGTTTCTGCTAAATTTATCGGGGAACTTTTTTCTGCTCCATTTAGCAGGAAAAATCTTTCTCCGCTACATATAGCAGGGAAATTTTTTCCGCTATATTTAGTGGGAAAATTTTCCCGCTAAATTTAGCGGGGAAATTTTTTCCGCTAAATTTAGCGAGAATTTTTGCTGCTAAATTTAGCAGAAAAATTTTTTCACTACATATAGAAGGGAATTTTTTTTCGCTATATATAGTGCGGAATTTTTCCACTAAATTTAGCGGGAATTTTTTCCGCTAAATTTAGCGGAGAAATTTTTACGCTACATATAGCGGGGAAGTTTTTTTCGCTAAATTTAGCGGGAAATTTTTCAGCTAAATTTAGCGGAAATTTTTTCCGCTAAATTTAGCAGGGACATTTTCTCGCTAAATTTCGTGGGGGAAACTTTTTCTGCTAAATTTAGCGGGGAACTTTTTTTGCTGAATTTAGCAAAGAACTTTTTCCGCTAAATTTAGCGGGAATTTTTGCCGCTAAGTTTAGAAGGGGAAATTTGCCAACTAAATTTAGCGGGGAATTTTTTTCGCTAAATTTAGCGAGGAAAGTTTCCCATAATGAAATGCCTGGTGACGTCACAAGTGACCCTCGTAACGTCAGACGTGACGTTGTTATGGGAAACGTCCCATAATGCAACGTGCAATTACGCCAAAGCCGATGGCGACGCCGCTTAAGCCGGAAACGGGTGCCTAAGAGCTGCGCTCTAAAGAGTCACTGCGTCTATTGCATAATCTGGGCGTTCTAAAAACATGTCTGTTATTGAAAGAGAGTTGAGCTTCTTTCAGCAAAAGCTGTCCATAACAAACATTTTCATTAGGCAGGAAATCCCATTTCAATTGGGTAATAAGTTGGAAATAGAGCACAACCTTTCATTTTTAAATAGGTGCCGACTGATATATTAAAAAGAGTATAGTATCATAATGCAAGAAACTAATTAGTAGACAGGTTATCAAGTACTTTTGTAGACCACTTAGAATGTAAAATAAAGACTACTGCAAACAAAAGGTTATCCTGTCCAAAGTAGATAAATTAATACTTCAGTAGATGAATATCTACGAAACATTAATATTAATTTTGCTGAATTTTATTTTAAAATATACTATTTAGATAAGCCTTTGCATACAATGACCCTTTTAAAATGGCACATTAGCTCCAAGAGTTCAAAGCAACATTATTAATATAGTACATATTTATATTGCCAAAATTGTGCAAAGTTTTACAGAAAAAGATGATGAAATTCTATAAGGTAATGTTCTTTCAGGAAATGAAATACTTTTGGAAAGAACCACATTAAATTATGTAGAAGCTGTAGCCAAAGAAGTACAAGTTTATCATACTTTCTCCTTCCAAATTAAGTAAAGCAAAAAAAAAAAAAAAACTGTCTCCAGACGGTGAGATTTGCAGAATTAAACAATTCTCAGAGAAATATTTAGTTGATGTACACCTATGAGCGATATGAAGGTGAACAGCCCTCTTCTTGTTTTTGACAATCCTGCAAGTTTTGGAACAAGCTCTGTTCCAGAAGAGGACTAGAACGCAAAGTTTAGACCCCAAGCCACGTACCATTTGAGACGTTGAGAGTTAATATAGCTTTAGGAAGCCGTAAAACAGGCAAGAAACCAGGTAAGGTGCTCACCTTCATATTGCAGGTGGGTGTACATTGACTGAATGTTTTCTATATTTAAAGCACAGACCATAGCCACGGCTTCAGGGGTGTCAACAATTGTATAGTTTTAGTAGATGTTCCCTTTCAACAAACATTTCTGACACTTAAGTCGCATTTGAAAGCTACAAGTACTAACCTATAAGCTTTTCAGTGGTCTAAGAGTCACTAGCACAAAATACAGATGTAGCCATCAGAGTCACATGGAAGAACTCACATTTCACTGTAGGCTATGAGCGCATACACGGAGCACACAATGACGCCTGCTTCAACCAGCCATCCAATGAGCCCCACCCAAGAGGGCAGGACGACACAGCTGTCTTCGAGTGAAGGCACTCTGCATGCCGTTTCAGGGAGGTAGCCACTTCCACTGGGGCCGGGGCTACGCACTGAAGTATCACCTGCAACAAGACAAGATTTTTTCTTGCTTTGTGTTACAACAAGCTAAGGTGCCCCCGGAAACAAATGGCATCCCACAGATGCAAGATCTATCATCTTGAAAAGGATGTAGAAAACCTCTGAATGGATTCATGCAAGTCAATGCACTCATTAGATGTGCTAAAAATTTGGCCCAAAAAAGGTAGGGTTAGTTTATCATTCCAATTAAGATAGACAAACACTGCTAAAGAGAAAGGTGTGGGAATAGTGAAGCCACTAAGATAAAATGATCATTCTTGGCAAAAACTGATCGCAAGGATGAGACGGGCACACTCGCAAAAAAGTTACAGGCGTTTCACAGTAATTCAGGGGGTCAAAGGGTTCTCTCTGATGCCAATGTCCAGTTCTCACCAGTAGCAAGGCACTTTTCCGGAAGACCTTGAAGGGTGTGGTGGAGACTCAACTGACTGATGCTATGAACCAGATGATGAATCTGCTCCCGTTTTCTACGAGCCCAGACCTCGATCTCCTGCCACTGCACCAGGGTTGCCTCCAGCGGAGACAGAGGGCTCCTTGATAAGCGAGAAAAGGAAGACAATCCAATTTTGTTTTGTTCCCTTCATAAGCATGTAGGTCATGCACGAGTTGAACGCAAGTTATGACTAGAGTTCCGTGTTTTCGACGAACACCGATAAACTCGGACAATTAACCCCCGAGAACGTTTAATCAAAATTGGGGAAAATCGGAAAACTCCGAAGTAGAACACTCTCTAAATAAGAAAATCCAAAGCTTCATGGGAAAAATTATCTACAATTCTATTTTCTGTTGACCCAGAATAGAGCCCACAAAGAACTGTCCGTGAGGCTGCTTTTTTGTGGATGCACATCCCTAATCTTGTTTTCTTCTTGTATCGGTAACGGCAAGTTTCTTAAGTGTCCAGGTAATGTGCATGCTCCCAGACGATTGGAAATTCCATTCCCATGTCACATTTTTTCGTCATAGGCCCCGATTAACGCAGAGGTTTCGTCCGACATCAAAAATAGGCACCAAAAAACCCCAAATCTGTGGGAAAATATAAACCCTAAGAAAACACCCCCCCAAATTTGAAGAAAATTAACCCCCAAACAAACATGAAACTAGAGTCATGACCAATAAGCACAACAAAACAATTAGCAGTTCTACAAAAAAAGGACATGTATTTTTTAAAGAGAAATAGAATGTGAAAAAACTGCTAAGGTTTGAAGTCACTGTCCTTCAGAGTAGTACAATCATACAGTAGTAAACATCTTTGATCTGAACCAGGCACATAGCCAGGATTTTGTTTTGGGGGGGGGGGGGGGGGGAGAGGGGGGAGAGGAGGCCCCAGTAAAACGAAAGATTTCGAAGGGGGGCCCAGGCCCTGTGCCCCCCCCCCGGCCACGTGCCTGATCTGACCTTGCAACAACTTCGATTTCCTGTCCATGAAAGAAAGCTCCTCCAGCCGCAGGCCAGGACGGACAGGCCCAAAAAAGCCCCACTATATTCCAGCAATCCAATATATACAGAGGTCCGGTCACAAGATAATAGACAAGCACGGTACACTTCCTGCAAGTCATATCGAGGGGTGATAGATGTCCGGTCACATGATAATAGACAAGCACCAACCTCGAATAAAAGCTGGAGTCCAAAGCCTCTGAACCCTTCTCGGACTCTGCGTTCAGACTCGTTCCATACAGAGACATGCTTTCGTACGATGATAAGGAGTCGGTTTCGTCGCCATCACCGAAGCTGGTTGTCGATCCCTCGATTGTACTTCCGGCACTTCGCGAGGAGTTCTTGCCGACTCGGCAAATCGATCCTGGAATGCGGTTCACCAGCTGCCAGCACTGTGCAAGAAGCTTGGTGGGAATAATGGTGCATGTGCTGTTTCGGAAGATTACAGCCGGCACCTGATGCACAGCATGAACCACGAGCGAAAAACCGATGGCGTGGAGAATCCTCCACACAGAAATCCCAGTGATGACGTTCTGCGTCGATGGCTGTGAAGAAAAGAAGAGATAACACTGAAGAGATAACGAACAAAAGCCTCAGTTATGGTTATGCATGTTCATAGTTGCAGTGCAGTTTCTGTTACATTTTTTTGCTGGAATCAACCTGGTGGCTATACTAATGTCATTGTGCTGCTCTTATACCACAATCTAAGGAAATTGCATATCATCAATTATTGTTACATGTCTGCCAAATGTGAGAGCATCAGTGAACTAATTTAGAAAAGGCATTAATTAAACAGCCCTATTCTCATAAAAGTGCATTCTCTAACAAGATGAAGACTATTCCACTTCATCTCAATTTTGAGGAACAAAATGCTGGCAAAGCTTAGTTTCAATGAAAGCGATGCAAAAATACAACAAACCAGAAAAGCAAATTGGACGTGAATTTTGTCAGTCTGTCTGAGATATGAGCTCAATGGTAGAGGGAAAAATTTTGATGAGTGCAGCAGGACTGCTCTATGTCACCATAGAAAGCTGTACTTTTACTTGGAACGATCCTGAGATGTTGCAAACAAGAACAGTTTTTGTGAAAGTGATCACATGCAGCGTGACGGTGCGCTAAACGACTGGACCATCCCATAGCAACTATGTTGAATAAACAAACTTCCACCATTGTTGAATAAACAAACTTCCACCATTATTGTTCAAAGTAACAGGAAAGGATAAAATTAAACATCTAGATAAATGTACATGCAATTACATTACCGTTTTCAACATGGTTCCTATTTTTTCAGTTGTCACATTTACTGTATTTACTCGCACAATGAACGCACTCGCGTAATGAACGCACCCCCCAAGTCTGCTCTCAAAATTTCGACTTTTTTTTTTCACTCGCGTAATAAACGCACCCCCAACTCGATGTCAAAATTTTGACCCCCTCCCCCCACGCGCGCGAAATGAACGCACTTTTCTATCCTGGTGCAGCAAGGTTGCGAATGCATGGGCAGCGTGGGCGAACAAAACGCCTTGCAAAAGGCGTTAAAAAAAACTCGAAAAGATCAAACGGAAGCAAGAAAAAAGAACACGGAGAGGAGCTTTTCTTTTATTGCGCGGCGCAGTCTGGACTTTGGGTTCGCGCCGCCGCGCGCAAGGAGGTAAGAAGGAGAAGCGCTCTAAACGAGCGAAACAGCTAGCAAAAAGCGGCACAAAGAAAAAAAAACCGCGGAACTAAGAGAAAACAAAGACAAAGAGAAGCTTTTTTTTTTTTTTTTTTTTTTTGCACAACGCAGTTTGGTTTTGAGGTGTCGAGCGCCGCGCGCAAGGAGATAAGAAAGATAAGCGAAGAGCCCTCGTCTAAGCAACGCCTAAGCAAACAAGACAGCTTGCGAAAGGCAGCAAAAAAAAAAAAAAAAAACAAGGAACTAGGAAAAAAAAATTGTTTTTTTGTGCAGCTTAGTTTGGTTACGGGGTCGGGCGCCGCGCGCAAAGAGATAAGAGGTTACTTCGATTTTTGGGATAAAATGTCCGTTCATTATGCGAGTAAATACGGAAGCAAAAATTTTACCTCGCGTAATGAACGCCCCCCCTAACTTTGCATCGGTTTTTCGGAAAAAAAAGTGCGTTCATTCTGCGAGTAAATACGGTACTCAAAACAAAGCTTGTGCAGAGAGGTTCAAAACTATTCCCCTAAACTTTCTCCTATTAACGTAAGAGAAGTTTTGTAAATTTTAAGAGCTACACAACTCTATTTTGTCTAAGTAATTTTCATCACGAAAGAGGCCTATAGGGCCCCCTTGTTCACAGCCACCACGTTGATTTAACTCCAAAACTTTAAGAGCAATTGCCAGCGGCTGCAGCATACCTCAGGCACCACAAAGCACACCCAGAGGGTGCAGAGGGCAGATGATGAGAAGACCGTAGACAGACACACTGTGAGTCTCTGGATGCGTGAGAACAGGCTGCATCTGGGAGCAGCCAGAACTGAGCTCCAAAGGTGGTGCTCACTGAATGCAGACAACAGGTTGTTTGTGAGTTCCTATAAAATGAGAGTGAATAATATTACTTTATAGTCAGCTCCACACAAAGTAAAGCTTTTTTCAGTCATACTACCCTTAACACTAACTAAGAGTTCATTTGAAAATATCATGGTAGCATGACCTGAGGACAGCCTGAGAATGACCTTTGGTGGAATGGACGCACTTGCCCTAAACTATCTATTACATAAATATAAAAAAAGCAGCAACAAAAAAAAACTACCTCTATTTGACAAAATGCGCCGAAAGACAAGGACAGAGTAAGTAAGACAACACGAAGCGCTACACCGTAAGCACGTCTTTTGCTGGATTGAGAAAAAGACATGCTTACGGCATAGCGCTTCGTGTTGTACTCTGTCCTTGTCTTGCGGCGCATTTTGTCAAAATAAGTCATGTACCAACTGGCCCATCTGTCACTATTAAAAAAAAACCTTACACAATGCTTTTCTATTGCCTGTGATGTTAGAGCAGCAAGTGCATGCATCTCCAGAAAAAAACTATAATTTATTAGAGAAAGCATTTTTTCGGCATGTACAATCTAAAGGCAGTACTACGAGAAGATGCTTCCTTCAACGTTCGTTATCAGAATAGCAGTAGTAAAATATGTCTTTATTGAAAAGAACTTTTTCATTAAAGTATTATTATTATTATTATATAGATTTATTATTGATTTATGTTATTTCTTTATTCTTTCAGGTCATTTTCTCACAAGAATAAAGAACACCTTCATTAACTCAAACTCCAGAAAGTCATGAATTTCGTTTGAATGAGCGTTCGAATTACCAAAAATCTATCTAAATATGATGCAACATAAACTTATCAGTTGTTATATGAATGGCTTCACATACAAAGCAGATATTTGATAATTTCTTCTACATAGGCCAACTAATCATAAGCAGCTATGCCACACATGAAACATAGGTGAACTGTAAAAGAAAACTTTATTCACCCCTCAAAAATGCTGTCTATTGAGGACTGTTTAGACAGCACATGGCACCTCGAAACAAAATTAAGTTTGTTCATCCAGCAAGCTTTGCAGGTGTCGCTTCTCTGCAGTGCCCCAGAGCTCACCAAGAAGCGCACTCAATGGGACCACGAGAACAAGCATGAATTACCTGAAAATGCCTTTAAAATAAAGCAGCTTATAAAACATAGCGGGACAACCAAAATTTCAAAATTTGTTTGAATACTCCAGAAGTATAAAATATCAGAGTTTAAATTGTTGCGAGCCTACGTTTAGACCTTTCCAGCGGCAGTCTCGAACGAAGTGATTTACACCAAGCGTCCCTGGTTTTGAGAGTGTATGTCAGTGTTGCCCGACTGCACCGGACTGCGAGCTTTTCTTGTCAGCGGGCTGTGGCAGCCTGCGTAGGCACAATTCCGGTTGCTGGTAGCGGCTAAATTGCTTTGTTTTATTTTTTCTTTTGTGCTCTATGGCAAATAGAATTTCTCTAGGTTTTTAAGAAAGCATTGTACTATTTTTGGGAACAAAAACAAACAAATTTAAGCTATTTTTTGACAGTATGTGCACGACAGAACAAGTATAACTCGAATGCTTCTTTCATTTTATGTTGATTTTTTAACGGCCCCATACGCTCAGCCACGCCGATTTACAAAGGCCTTAACGGCCAAAAACATTCGACCACACCGCAGAATAGCCGAACTGCAAGGGTATTCCCTGCTCACAACATGAAATTCAACAATTCTAATCAATCGAACCACATATAATGTATGTTCCCCATGGTGCCGCATTATACGAAAAGCATTTGAGAAAGGTCTCATATAACACAGCATATCCAATATACAGTGTCGACAACAGTCACTTTACGACGATCGAACTACTGTATTTGCACGAATATAACGCGACCACGAATATAACGCGAGGGCAGGTTTTGATACCCTCAAAAAGAAAAAAAAAAATATTATTACCTACTATTATAACACGAACCGAGGCCCCGTCAATTTCCCGCACTCGGGGGCATAGCAGACGTGAAAAGTCAATGGAAATCGAAGAAATATCAGTTTATGTTTTGACTGCACTCATCCTCACTGCTCAGGTCCTTCCGTTTACAATCCACTTGGCGACTATGCAGATAAGCAGCAGCACGGCACCTGCGTGTCTGGTAGTTTCTTTTTCTTGCGTGCAAGCTCCGAGCTCCTCCTCGGCAGCCCACAACCAAAACAACGCACGAAGCAGAAGCACCAACACACAAACACCAAATCACTCTGGAGCAGAAACTAAACAATGCGAAAGCAGAAAAAAGACTGCTGAATCTGATACACTATCCCACTTCTTCTGGTCCCTCTGCCTAAACAAATAAATGCCTTGTGTTGCACGATTGCGTAAACGCCGTTGGTGGCTTGGCTTGTGTTGACTTGACTTGGCCCGGCTTGGCTTGGCTCGAATTGGCCAGTGCCCGCATTCCCGCATGACGCGCGCGCGCGCCAGGTTTCTGCGGCGTGCGTGCGTCGTACCAACATAAAATCGATAAAAATGCTTTATGTTTTCTATTCGCCCCTTCACGTGACCGAATAGCTAATAAATTCCGTTCCACACCCCTACTTCTTTTCCCACCGAATATTTTGCATTAAGCCGGAGGAATGGCTTTCTCCAGACTCGATCGCCTCGTGGCTGAACTCGATTCCGAATATAACGCAAGGTGCGTCTTGGAGCATGTAATTTCGAGAAAAAAACTTGCGTTATATTCGTGCAAATACGGTAAATCCGGTTTGTTTTGGGGCATGTTTTAAAGAAAGCTGTGGCTGTTTTTCACAGCACCAAAGCAAATGAACGAACGCATCTATTCTGTTCCCATACTTCTGACCCTATCAGCCATTTTTCGCATAGATTGGGAACAAAGCCGAGAAGGCTTTTCGTAAATTATCTCAACAGAAATAATCCTCGAAGAACATCAAACAGCCCGCGTCGAGGGCTGCTTGACGTTTGCTTTCTCCGTTCGTTTCCTGCGAAGGCCGAGCAGGCTACGAGCCCTGGTATTGCCTGGTTTTCAGAGTGGAAGATAACACAAATAGGGTAGGCATCCTGAACAGGTAAATAAAGTAAAAACTTTCTAGAAAAGCCAGCGAACTCCAAATGCACAATGCATGAGGGGAGTTGTGCTGACCAGGTTTCCACAGTTCAGGCGGGAGGCGGAAATTTCTGGCTGATAGGGGTTACTATAGTCACAAATGGCGGCGGCCAGAGAGCTCGCTTTGCAAAGGTCTATACTACAGTCACTGACAAGATGAAAATTGGAGAGTATCTCTTTCAGATGCCCAGTTTCCAGCATGCGCTTGTTGCCTTGTGTCGTGCTTTGGTTGCACATGTATGCTCAAAGCTCAGCCTGGAGGCGGGACAACTGAAGGCCCCTCTGCCATCCTCATCCTATCAGTGACTGTAGTATTAAAAAAACATACTAAAAATGCATAACCTTTTTTTTAGCTTTACATTAAATTAACAGATAACTGGGTAGATTTACCTTGAATAAGCTTTGCTCTGCTGGAGACACTGGTACCTCCTTTCCAATTGTGCCATCTCCATCACTCACAGAAAGCCATTGGTTAAAAATGAAGTGTGAAACAACTTCTGCAAGGCAACAATAACTCTTTTGTAAGTGACACATTATTTCTAAATGTTCAATAAATGTGAAAAACATGGGCATCATATGATATGCTGAAAACATTTTTTTCATGGCTGATGTTACACTGTCTGTCAAAGTTCTCAAGAGAGCTACTGAAACCACATCTGTCCTCAATGCTGTCCAGCTCTGTGTTACAGAGGCATGAAGAACAAAGTTGTAGTAGAGTTTCGTAAATTCACCTGTTTGTAGATCCATCACAGAGATATCCTGTAAGAACCACGATGGAGACAGTCCTGCATTGTTGTGCCAGACCTCCAACTTCCAGAGTTTCCCTAGCCCCTTGCCTGTACTGTATATGCAGTAAAAAGGATCACAATCTATAAATATCAGATTAAATATATTCTACTGTTTTGTGTTATCTAAATCAGTGGCTCTTAAATGAGGGTCCGTGAACCCTTTGTGGTCCGCAAATCATTCTAGGGGTCCGCGAAGCCCTCTCATCAGTGAAGCCTGGCAGTAAAAGTGGTCTTTTTACAGATTGAAAAGAAACATTCCAATTTTCAGGTGAGTTTTCTCGTGTGTTTGTCAATTAGACTACTTCATACCATAGCCCCTAGCTATGTTTGTTTATTACATCATCATCATAATCCCTCTATCTTTCCCTTCCCCTTACCATGAATGGGGCCCCCCATCATCTCAGCTGATTCAGAAGGGGTCCGCAAAACATCAATGGCTGAAAACCACTGATCTAAATAGTTTCATCAGTTATATGATGTGCATGTTGTATTCATCCTAAAGTGAAATAGGCCTGGGGCAATCGCATTTTTTTAAATATTATTACACTGCCAATGTACCTTCACCTGTTCTAACATGTACGAAAACCATTTCAGCATCTGAAGTTGAAAAAAAATTGTGGCGTCCAAAATTTGTAGACATAAATATTGGACTCCACTGCATCATAGGAGCCTGCAATCTTCTAAAAAAATCAAACAGTATGATGCAAAGGCACTGCGGTTGCTGAAATGTCTTAAGGGTAGAGTGAACAAAAACAAAACGAACCATATCACCTTTTTCACAAACATGCATAACAGTTTGCTGCCTGTCTAGCATTTCAGAACTCAATTATGTGTATTAAAAGTGTTGCATGTAATAAACTGTCTCATTGCAAAGCATCTCTCGTTGAGCAAAGTTTCAGGTGTAGTCCGGGTAAAAACAATTTAGCACACCTGATAAGAAAGGCATCACTAGAACCTCTCTGAAATAACTGTGATCCTCCATTGGGGTCCAAAAGCTCCTTGGGTGTCGACATTTCATTTTCCCCGTGCAAGCGAAGAGACACCTAAAAGGAAAATTGCAACAAACAGGCATTTATTAAAGAAAAACAAAGAAAACTAATCATAGTTTTTTAATAACAGCAAAAGAATGTTAATAAATGAAGATGCACCTATCAGTCAGACAAAATATTACAATGTTTCACAATATATGGTCATTCCTCTTTTGTAGCTACACTAATGTTGTAAAGCTGACTGTGTGTCCCAAACTGTTCTGTAACATCTGTGCACTCTTATATCTGGGGTCAATAGACAAACCTCCCAAACATTGAGCGTACACTGCAAAGAGTTGTTTTCTGTAGATTTAAATGAAACTGGAGAGCTAAAAGGTTGTCCTTCTCTGCTTTTATTAAATACCATAAGTCTATTTCTAGGACACTTTATAAAAGATTTCTCCTAAAACATCAAATTTTTAGTTGTATTTGTTTTGTCATGCACAGTGCACATTGTCCTGTACAATTTTGATAAAAGTAAACAATACACTCACAGAATAAACAGTATAATATATTATGTATGAAGTTTAATATGATTATATAGATTTAAGAGGAAAACTTGGGAAATTATTTTGGTAAATTGAATAGAATTGTTTAGAAATTAATGGCTTCCTTGGTGTGCAATGAAATGCATTTGCTCAATCTAAATACACAATTCCCTAAAATTTTGTCAGAACTTAAAACCAACATTTCTACAAAAGGCATTTTTAGCATTAATTTCTTTAACGACTCCTAATCACATTACAGCACACAATATAATACAACTATTTTATAAAGCTTTTATGTATTGAGTATACAGTGCACTCCACTTACAGCGATACCACATATGCCTACAAGGATCAGTTTCTAGAGTTTCTAGATTAGAAATGCTCAGTTTCCAGTTCAGATACAACGATAATCGGTTATAACAACACAATTTTCGGGTTTTCTAGTTATCGTTTTAAGTGGATAGCACTGTAGTATGAATGCTGCCCCTACAACTGCTTTGCACTACAATGTGCTTACCATTGCCGATGTTCCTGCACAAAAGTATGGCCCAGTGCGCACAATGACCAAGTAAAGATGGCGAGCAGTGGACAAACAAGGCTCTAGGGAAACTATGTGTCTCGATTTATGAGAGGATTGCTGGTTCTTGTGAAAGAGAGCAACCAAGACACCGTAAGCCAAGAAGCTGACAAGGACAAACATGATGACAGGTCCGTTGACTGGTCGAGCAAACAGACTTTGTGTGTGAACCTTTGTGACGTTTGGGTGCAGGGGAATTGTGTTCATTGTTACAACTGTAGAACCCACACATCTGCAAAGACACGAAAAAATTCAGGTTTAGTCTTCTTTTTAGACTCCCTGCAGGACATGGTTTAATTTCTTTACTCCCTCCCAAATTCTCAAGTTGTCATAGACCTCTATGCCAAGACCACAAATACTTTATCAGTAAGAAATATTCTCTGCCACCTTTGCTGCCTTCTTCACCGCACAGTCTATCGGATATGGTAATTCTAAACTGTACTTTACATTAAGAGCACACGAATCCTTTGCGCATGAGTACATCTGAACACCCTTGCACAAACCAAAATGGCAGCAACACAGAAGTCCAGTCCCCACCCTGCCTGTTTCAATCTGGATGAGCATTTGTTAGTGTCATCACTACTGTGTGAAACATGCTAAAGACCCCAGGCTAGTAGTGGTACTACACTGGCCCAATTTCTCACCTACAGCAGAGACACCGAACGCCCATTAGGGCGAACTTCCCGCTGTCTAAACAAACACACAACACCATTTTACACAAAAGTGTTGCTCATGAGAGCTGGGTTGCTTGAATAGACTTACTGGCAATGAACATATTTTTCATTTGTGGAGCTTCTGACAAAGCAGCCCGTGGTGTTCCATTGGTGATCATCTGGTATGTACTGCATGCATCTTTGCCAAAATCCTTTTATGTCATATGGTATGTCTCTATCTCCATAGGTCACTTTCCAGCGTTTGTTCATTTGTGGCTTCTGAGCGATGATCAGGTAATATGTCCCAAGTGCTGAATCAAAGAAAAATTCACAGAGGAATTATTAGATTAAAAAATAGGAACTCTAATCTGAAGGAGCACTGCAATGCACATTTGATTTGTAAAATTTAATTCTAAATCAAATATCAAAAGAATTATTAAGTGCAAAAATATGTATTAGGACTGCTTTATTTGGTGGATTCAGAAAAATAATGCATGGTCATAAATTTTGCTCGAACAAGAACAGACCTCTTGTAGAGAGCATCTGCAATCAAGATAAAAGGTCATACTACATAGCTATAGAATGCACAGAAAGAATAAAACACATGAAGGACGAACACGGACACACACAGTTGTGTGTGTCTGTGTTCGTCCTTCATGTGTTTTATTCTTTATGTGCATTCTATAGTTTTCAACGCGCTCTGCTACATGTACATAGCTATAACTACCCCTCATTATTAATTCTCAAACAAGTTACATAATGTTCCATATAACTCTGGTTAATGAACTTAGACTTACCGTAAAATACCGAGCAGGTGCCCACTCAAAATTTGAAAATAATCCCAAGAAAATAGGGGAGGGGCGCTTGTAAGGTCATCAATTGTACATGTATATATAATGTGCATATTTGTTCAAATGGTTCAAATTTCGAGGGTGGGCGCTTAGTGCGGAGTGGGCAGACGCACGGTATTCTACGGTAGTTGCTTTGAAAATAGCACAATGCACACTTCCTTCATAATACAAACAAGCAATGTCTCAACAAAATAAAGCTGAGGGTAGTACATACACCAGCGACACTTGTACGATGATTATTTTCTTACTTCATGTAAAGCTGAGCTCTAGCACATGCAAGTTTATAGCGAAGTTAAGAGATGTAAGCCAGAAATTAGTAGTGCTTCACCCGCACTGGACATACCTGTCATTGTTCTCTCAGGAACAAAAATCTCAACATTGCCATTATCTTGCACAATGACTCTTGCACCATTCACGTCCTCAATGTATCCTCCAGAGCTGTATAAAAAAACTTGAATTGATAAGAAACATGGTGAAATCTGTAAGACTCGATCTAGACACCACTTTATAAGATAAACAAAAAGTCAACTGATGTACTTGGTCTTGCAGAGATGCAGTGTGTCCTCCAAGACAACACACCTGAAACTTTGCTCACCTACACTATGAAAGGTTTGAGACAAATTTTCAGGCAGGCAGTCAAGAAGCGAGATGTGTGCCCACCGAAGTTTGGACAGCAGATGTAGCATCATAGAATCATGAATAGCTTGTGAAAAAAAAAAATATAGCATCATGCATTTGTAAGAAGGAAAGGACAGCTATAATGTGGGCATGTTATTTTCTAGATTTCTAATTAATGCATTCATGCATAGATACCTTCTAGTTTGATCTGCAGTGCCAGATGCTATATTCTTTGTTTCTTATCTGATGCATTTAATGTAATGTACAGGCAGTGGCTAAAAGAAGTATACCAGCAACATAACTCGCACAACTTTCTAACATTTTTACCTAGAGATGCCTCATTTCACGATCCACTGGTGAGTTGGAGTGACTGCAACACACCTGAAACTTTGCTCACCTGCGCTAACAGTCCAGGCTGAGACAAAGTTCCGGGCACATCAGAGTCACCCAGACGGAGACGGTTGAAACTGCTCCCAGCTAGTGACTCAACTCAACAAAATAATTTGCTTCCACATGGTGCAGTGAAAAATCTCCACCTTATTTTAGACACCAGCACATACAGCCTCATATGTTTTACAAGTAGCAATATTTAATCCATTATGCTCATGTTATTTAAAGCAAAACTCGGCATGTTATTTCACTTATACTGAAAAGATTTTCCAGGAATAAAATGCTGTAGTCGGTAAGGGGGAATTTACCTCAGATGTATTCCTAAGGGTCCAGACAGTTGGCGAAACGAAATCTTGATGTATAAAGAATACCCCAACAGGGTCCTGGTGACATTCAACAGATGCTTGTTTGCAAGGCCTGGCTGAAGCAGAAAAGCTGGTTTTATTGCCTGAAAGAAAAATGTGAGTGTTTTAATAGAGAGATAACACACAGTAGTATGCTATTATGCTAAGGTTATATGTTACTTGACAACATATGCAAGAAGAGTCAAGCGATTCTCTAATATAATTCAGTTGCGATGTAACATAACAGTTCTTCTGTTCCTTGTAGAAGCTTCGTACCGGCATATACCTCAATGATTTCCTATAAATACAGCTTAAAGAACTAACAAATTATTAAATGGAAAGCAATATATAAATGATAATGTGCATGCTTAGGCTCACAAATACGTGCAATATTACGTAATAATAAAAGTCACTAATTTAGCAAAAAAACTTGAGAAAAGTCGACAACAAACATTTTGGTTAGCTAATAAAAGAAACCTTTCCACCAAAGTTTTCAAGAACTGAAAAAAAAGTCAGTGTTCTAAAAAAAAATGTAACTGGTGAATCAGTAACAGGCCCTCATAAAAAATCTCACCTTGTTGACTCGATTGTTTGCTGGTGTCCTTTTGAAAAGCAATGTAATCCAATCTTTCTGAGAAGCAGAATCGACTCTGTTAAGAATGACAGTAAATACTGATGTGTGTGGCACAGGATATGCATGTGATGATGGAGGAGCTTTGAATGGCATATAAGGAAATGAATACACGGAAGTGATGTCACAATTCCTAGATGTGTCAGTAAACCTGAAAACGCAAAATTAAAAAGTTATCAGTTGAATATTTACAAATGCTGCTGATATTTGACAGGTCAGCAGAATATCAAGAAGATTTTAGTTTGAGCAAACTTAAATCATAATTATAGAGCCCATTACCTCATCAACCTCTTATGGACACAAGCTACATTTTCTGCTAACCCTTCAGCCAAAAAAACACAATAAGGTCATAAGTACATCCCCAATCTGGCAAGCATGAAAAAAAGCCCACTGAAACTATGTCCCTCGAATATAAATTTCTATTTATTTCTATATTAATGAAATAAAAAATAGATGCAACAGCTCATATGTAGAGCAGGCCTGTCTTTCAAATATGCCAGAAAAAGCTGTTACTTTTTTTTTATTACAACAATGTAACAGCTTCACAGAGAAGAGCTTTTAGATCAAACTTGAGTGAGCACAACTCCTAATGGGTAACATCAGTGAAACACATGTACATGCGCAAAAATATCAGTCACCTCCTGTGGTCGTCTGAGGATGCTGGAGGCAAAGTAACAGTATTCCATTCTGAGTGAATCCTCAAAGGTGACGTCCTTGCTGACGAACATACGGATGCTACCGACACCCACGGTGATGAAAATTGAATTGCTTTATTTGGAGCACAGTCCTCCTGCAGAGACACCTGAAAAGAAACAACAATATATATATAGCAGTAATCTAGTCAATTGTTACTCTGCACAAGCGAGGAAAAGCAACAATAGCAATCCTGGGTTTTGTTTCAGAAACAGGCTTGTACTTTAATAATAATAATAATAATGACTTTATTTTCAGTGCCCAAAAACAACCACAGCGGTCTTCACTTTGGTGCACCTGTTCAATCCTAGAAACACGTTGGTATATTACCATCACCCAAAAACAAATAAACAAACAAAATGACTTTGGTCATTAGAATCTTAACTTTTCTGTCACTCCATTTTGCTTTCATATCCTGCGTCTCCCTTTACATTGGCCAGTCACAAGGTGTTATTTGCATTTCTTTTCTATTTTTTTTTTCTACTTTCTCCAAACACCAAACAGCAATGTAATCTCGTCATAAACAAAAGTCAGACATTGGTTCAAGGATGCAACTACTACCTAAAAAGTTTTAATATTTGTCGTCAGCAACTGCCTCAGTGTTGAATCCATCCATTGAAGAAAAAGGGGTATACTATGTACCTTGAGTGTCGAATGGAGGATCAGGTTGCACATGAGCAGAAAATGCCAGTCATGTCTGCCTGCTTCTTGAGCCAGCTTTATAAGAGTTCCCATGATGTTGATAATCTCGGTGGTCGTTGGCGCGAAAAACTTATAGATGGCAGTCGTTGGTCTCGGAAATTGCACAATGGATTGTAACAGTTCTGCAGCCCTTCCAAGGTCGGATTCCTCTCCCTGCAACAGTACCGTTTTTACCCGCACTGCACCATGTTTCAAGCATTTCATACTGCATAAAATATTCCTAGAAAATAAAGTGGCTAGTTGTCATTTAGAAATATGAGGAGTCAGCTGAATAAAGCTAGAGTTATTTTTAAAACTGTATTCACTGAAGGAAGCTACAGTAATGCTCCTTGCAGTGAATTTACAATGTTGCCTTGGGATGCTGACATTAACTATATAGTCTTATAGAGATTAAAATGTTTGGAGTACCTAACACAACAATATGAAGGATGTGTGAAGCATAGTAACAAAGTATTAAATGGCTGCAATGAAGGAGGTAAAGTCAGCAAACACGAAACTAAAATACAGTCGACTGTCAATAATTCAAACCCTCTTAATTCAAACTTGTGGATAATTCAAATTAACATGCAGGTCCCATCCTATGTGTCTCTATGGGAGGAAACTCCTGATAATTCAAACTTTTCTTTATTCAAACAAATTTTGGGCCCCCCTTGAGTTTTAATTAACGAGATTCGACTGTAGCTTAGATTTTTTTATACAATAGTGTAGAGATATCATTACATGATCAGAGCAATAAAACAGTGACAGTGCTTACTTGAAACGGGGGTTCCAGCACCACTCCCAGTGTGAGCAGCAAACTTTTTGTTGCGAACTAAAAGAAAATCGGCAAGTTTAAGACTTATTTTTGTGGTTTAAATGTTACATTTTCATAAACGTCCCAAAACTCAGGCACCTTTCTTTTCGAGAACAACTGCTTAAAGGGTAAATCCGTTCAAATCTTGAACCAAAAAATATGACTGATATCGATTTACGGATACTATATACTATGAGCACTGTCAAAATATTACACTAAGAAAACACGTTCCACTCTAAAACATATACTAAAAATGCTACCACAAGCCTCAAAGCGGGCATTCAGCTGGTTGGCTGTTTATCAAGGAAGCTTGTGCCTCAATGTCATGTTAGGACTCAAGGAGGTTACTTGTTCGTACTGCCACTTATTTTGCCGTGTTTATATGCTGCATTTTCAGCCGTCCCAGCAGACCATTTCTGCTTGTTATGTTATGTTTTAGTAGCCGCAGTGTGGAAGTGCTCCTCAACAATCATGCACGCAGATTATTGACTCCCTGCTTGCTCTAACTGGTGCAGAAGGTGGTATTCACTGGCAGCCATAGCATTCTCTGTTTCTGCTCAGCACAAGCTGATAATTAGTTCCCATAACGCTTCTGCAACAGGCATTACACACCACTAAAACTGTAGTTCTCAGCAGAGAAATGGGGGTTTGTTCTGAACCTGCTTTGAGCCTGCGTTCATTGTGGCAAACTTGCTTTTCGGCCAGCAACTCTATGAATGTGTATCAATATTTGCTACAGATGTTTGATATCTATGATGCAAAGTAGTAAAACAGCCGTAGCATCTTACGAGACTGATCGGAACTGCTGTTGAGACTAGGCCAGTCATACATTTGGCGGAACCTCGGTACAAACGTTACGCCACAATGGCCATGCAGCTGATCACAAGGGTTGCTATCATGTTCGAGCCGGTAGCTTCAGTTTTGTCGTAGACTCCCGAAACAAAACATTGGGGTAAGATATCTACAGAACTACATGAGGCATCGAAAAAAATGACACCTCTTAATCGTAAAATCGAGAAAATGCACCATAGTTACTCTTTATATGACAAAATTCAAACATTGATTTTTCTGACAACCGTTAAATCTAGCAAAGTCCTATTTGTTCGCACTCACACAAATCTTCACCAAAAAACAGAAGAAAACAGAGGTATACACGCTCACCGAATCGAACAGGTGCACATAATGGAGGGTCTCCAGGGTAAATTTGAAGATTCTTTTTTTGACCGTAGTTCCTGATCCATTTGGATGGTTTCCAACCGCTCTGACATTTTTCAACATGTGGAGGATGACATGAATTCGATTCAAAGCCGCTTGATGATTCTGTTCACCGATGAGTTGGGCCAACTTCGACCGTGGATGTAGTGTAATATTTCGCCTACATCCGAGAAGAAAGCATCTAAGAACAAAGTGCTGAAACTGCTCCAGGCAAATTATAGTAGGTAACTTAATGTTTAAATGCGAGAAAGAAATTGCTGTCCATACCACATTATGAATACTTGCTTTGGAGCTATGGTTCATCCAAATGAACAATGTCTTGATTTATGGTTTAATAAAAGGCCTTAAAGAGGGACCAGCAGAAATATTCTTCCGCCTGGCGGAAAGTCCTCCTCGCCCTCTTTCTTTCTTGTATTGTAACACGGCGAGGAGAGGGGGAAGGTCCCCTTTTGTGCCGGCTTCTTCTGAAGAGGATAATCCAAAAAAATCCCCATTCTGAGCGACGGGCGATGGGTGTGGCAGCAGCGACCTCGTGACTTAAGGCCCGTTCACACTCTTGCGACTGCTTGAGACCTGTTAAACCTGGGTTCCTTAAAACTTCTTAAACCAGAGAACACACTGGCGCCATCTATTGGGAAGCAGTGTAAACTCGGCGGTCCGGCATATTTTTTTTTTATTTCTCGCGCAATATCCTTTCTTTTTTGGCTCGAAAAACTTTTGTCAATGTTATAAACGAGCCTTTCTATGGGTATTACGCACATTTGACCTCGGAAATCCCGCAAAACCTTCGCTTTTGTGAAATGCAGTTCTAGGGTCACCGCATAGATGGCGCCACAATGTCAGTGTGTTCCCTCATTCTAGAAACATTTAAGAAGTTGTAAGAGATCTCGTCTCTCTCAGTCGTACTCGGTCGCAAGAGTGTGGACGGGCCTTTACAGGTAGCTTCAGCTCCTATCGCGTAATCTGCCCCATTTTTTGGCGCTCACCAAGCCTAGCCCCTCCGGTGTAGGTTTTACGGAGCTGCAAGGCTTCGCCCGCGTAGTCACTGAATTTCAGCTGTCGAAGGTCTTTGGTTTAGCCCGTGGCAAAGCAAACGCATACTTGAGAGCTGCGATGCATCCCCGCACCTATTGAAGGAACGTTTCATTGATATTTATGGTTGATCAAGGAGCTCAAAACACATGCGCGAGAAGTGGTGACTTGAATATGTAAGGATGACTTCCATCTTCACAAAACATTCCATCTTCAAAAAAAAAAAAAAAAAAAAAACTGCTGATCACTCTCAAATCTGCCTCAAATTGGGATCGATGGAAAAGAAAACGACGTACCAGGCGCGGGCAACTTCTAGAAGGTCTCTGTTTTCTAGCAGCGAGCACAAATATTGTGTGCGTAACTCACACTATATGATGGCCAACGAATGTAGGTGACATTTATATTTACGCATCCCAGCAACCACATGAGGTGAGAAGGCAGCAATGGTGTGTGTCGATACTAAAAAGTTTTATTGGATCGTCTTTAGCTCTTGGATAGCAGCACCCTACAACAATATATAAGCTATAACCTTTCTTGTGAGCATTCTTGATCGAGTGTGGCTATCGAAGCGTTTGGTGTTATAGTTCAACGTTGCTTAAATCGGCGCTATAGCACGTGCTGCCACTTTAAAGTATTTTTGAGGCATTAAAAATTAAAAATAACTCAAACGTAGCGGTTTTTTTTAATACGATACGCATTTGTAATTTGTCTTTGCAAACACATTTCAGGTATACTGCCACACAGTTAGCACGGACAAACTATTGCCGGTCTTTCTGATTTTGTTTTTTAGAAATAAATGATATTTAGAAAACTGTCAATGCAACTATCCAACCTAAGTGGCAGAGATCAGTGCTAGGGAATACATGTTGCTGGGCAGAAATAGTAAAAAGCGCCGATGTCGCGTTCGGGCTAAAAGTGCCACGTAATGCACGCGTACTGCTACAAGTGCCTCCGGACATTTCATCGAACGCCGTTTCATCAAATGCCATTTCATCGAAGCCGTTTCATCGAGCACCGTTTCATCAAACGCCGTTTCCTCGAACGCCGTTTCATAGAAGTCGCTTCATCGAACGCCTTTTCATCGAACAACGTTACAGTCTGTAATACTTGGGAATCTACTTTAATTTTTATACACAACTTCATCTAATTCTTTCTTTTTTTCTTTCTTTTGTTTCTGTTTTTATATCACTGGGTGCAGTGGCGAGATAAGTTCCATCGTGAGCATATCCTGCTTCGAGAAGAAGGCCTCCATGAAACAATGACCCCTCTCCATGAGACATGAAACAATTAAAAATGAGACAAAAACAGAAAGCACAGACGCTTAAAAGTGTTTTAAGTGTCTGTCCTTTATTTGCAGCGTCGTGGTTTCAGTCATGTATGTACACGAGTAAAACTTTTCAGTAAGTCGCATACCCAATTGTTTTTATTTCTTTTTATGCCAATTGCTTTTATTTTTAGTAATTCGACACCACCTTCAAAACAATTTCACAAGTGACTACCTTAGTCTTAACAAATGAAAGGTGAAACATCTATAAAGCACTATTATGCCCCAAAACTCGGCACAGAGCCGTAACAGAGAAATTCGATGAAACGGCCCTTGGCGATTCGATGAAACGGCGTTCGATGAAATGGCGTTCGATGAAACGGCGTTCAATGAAATGTCCGTTCATTCGATGAAACGGCTTTCAATGAACTAGCGAAAAAGTGAGGTTCAGGCTTGGTCGGAGATTGCTACGGTTACACTCGTACGCTTTTTCAGCTCTATCTCGCATAAATAAGCTTCTTGCTAAAATAAACAGGGGCATCTGACTTTTCGCTCATTTTGGCGTTTAGCGCGACTTTTAACAAGTTCTAAAACCGAAAAAGCAAAAGTGATTTAATTAGCTCAGTATTATAGGTTGAGCGAAACATTTACAAAGTTCGAGGTTCCCTGAGTCGTCTTTTGTATTCAATTCCCCCTCTCCTCGCCACCACTTCCTTCCTTTAAATAAACAACGTAGATTATTTTATGAACCACAAGTAATAGAGCGTACTCGCAAAACATCTATTTGGCATACGAAAGCGTAAGAAAGGCCCTGTTTAAATGTTCGAGCAATGAACTGGTTTTCTTACTGTGCGTGACACAGCTAGCACGAACACAATTCATATTGACATTTTTACGCAAGGGCCATGCAGAATTTAGTGTATAAGAACAAATAGATGCCTCGTAAGTTGGTGCCCAACGGAAGCACTCTTTACCGAATTGCTTGTTTAAAAATAACAACTTCTCAAACATAAAAATAAAACAAAATAACACCACTTTTTTGGGGGCCACTAAATTTACTGATTTAGCAGTATCCGTACATTACGCAACACTGTTAGCGCAAACACGACATCGGCGCTTTTTGCTATTTTCTTCAGCAATGTATCGACTCGCACTAAAATCTACCGCTTAGGTTGGATACTCGCATTAACAGTTTCCTAAACATCATTCACTTCTAACAAAAAAAAAAAAAAAGTGGGAAATACTGGCGATAGTTTGTTTGTGCTCACTGCGTGGCGTAGGGTACCTAAAAGATTTTTACAATGTTAAATACAATTCTGTGTCACGTTAAAAAAATTGTCTGCTTTTGCTTTAGTTTCTTTGAGACACTACAAATACTTCGAAGTGGCGGCCCGTGCTATGGTACCGATACAAACAACGTTGAACCATAACACGACACGCTAGACTCGCCAAAAAGGGTTTTAATATTGTCTTTTTTGCTCCATAGCCGCACTCGATGAAGAATGTAAAAAGCGAGTCTAGCTTACATTTCGTTGTGGGGTACGGACCGTACGGTTATCTAAGTGGATAAAAGCGACCCACTAAAGCTTTCTAAAATTGACATCCACCCTTGATGCCCTCTCACCTCAGGTGTTTGTTGCAGTCATGGGTAAGTTACTTTTAAAAAGTAATTCGTTACAGTTACAGTTACTTTCAGAAAAAAGTAGCGAAGTTACCTTTACAGTTACCGCAACAAAAGAGTAACTCGTTACAGTTACAGTTACTTTTAAAAAGTAACGACGTTACTTTTCAGTTACTTTTCTATAACACAAAAAAAAAAAAGAAATTTAGAAAAAACTAGAAAATGCCCCTCACAATGTTTTATTGCATAAAACTAAAAAGTACGCTTTTTACTTAATATTGTAACTTAGCAGCAGTTGCTTCTTGAAGTTAGTGTTTGAAAGTTTCCACGCCAGAGTAGTGGCGCAAATCAAGATACGAAACATGCGCAGTGCTGAGTAGTGGCGCTAATCAAAACACGAGACATGCGCAGTGCCCTGCACGTGTATTGTTGTTTCACGGTTGATTCACTCGAGTAAAAAGCGTTTACACAGAAAGAAAAAAACCACAACATAGGTGGTGCTTCAAGACACTAAGATGTAAGTGTTCAGTCACAAAGTACAAGCGTGTGCGTAAAGATAACTAGATATTTTTTTATAAAATCTACACGTGGCTATATTCCGGTCGTGACTCGCGAGAAAGAATGTATTCACAACTTTGTGCAAGGCCATTTTGACACTCGAAATGTCGGAATAGACGATTTGGAAAGTGCAAGGAATGGCTGAATTGCACCCCCTCGTTCAGTGATATATTATTCATAAAACACTGGAAAGTAACGACAAAAGTAACGCCGTTACTTTCATCGTTACCTCAGAAAAAAGTAATAGAACTACAGTTACAAGTTATGTTTTAAAAAAGTAACTCGTTACAGTTGCAAGTTACCGAAAAGGTAACGAAGTTACAGTAACGCGTTACTAGTAACGCGTTACTACCCAAGACTGGTTTGTTGGGAATGTGTAAATATGAATTTCATACATTTTGCTGGCCATCATGTTCTGCGAGTTAGGCACAAAACAGGGCATTTTAGTAAATCGTTTTCAAAGGCCCGCTGCCACTTCAGGCGCGCGCTTCAGAGAATGCATCGAAGTGGCAGCGCGAGCTCCTGCTAAATATAGCGTGGCCTGAAAACAGTCTGCTAAAGTTCTCCAATAATTTGTGCTCGCTGCTAGAAAACAGAGACCTTCTAGAAGATGCCCGCGCCTGGTACATCGTTTTTTTTTTCCATCCATCCCAATTTGAGGCAGGTTTGAGCGTGATAAACCGTTTTTTTGAAGATGGAATGTTTTGTGAAGATGCAAGTCATCCTTACATATTCAAGTCACCACTTCTCGCGCATGTGTTTTGAGCTCCTTGATCAACCGAAAATATCTATGAAACGTTCCTTCAATGGGTGCGGGGATGCATCGCAACTCTCAAGTATGCGTTTACTTTGCCACGGGCTAAACCAAAGACCTTCGAGAGCTGAAATTCGGTGACTGCGCGGGCGCAGCCTTGCAGCTCCGTAAAACCTACACCCGAGGGGCTAGGCTTGGTGAGCGCTAAAAAAATGGGGCAGATTACGCGATAGGAGCTGAAGCTACCTGTAAGTCACGAGGTCGTTGCTGCCACACCCATCGCCCGTCGCTCAGAATGGGGATTTTCTCGGCTTATCCTCTCAGAAGAAGCCGGCGCAAAAGGGGACCTTTCCCCTTGCCTCGCCGTGCTACAATACAAGAAAGAAAGAGGGCGAGGAGGACTTTCCGCCAGGCGGAAGAGTATTTCTGCTGATTGTAATGTACTGATTGTAATGTACTAGCTGACAGCTTAGTTCCACTGGACTAAAATCCTCAAGTTATTTTCTCCTGAATCTTGAAAAAAAACATTTCTGGATACATTATGGCAAAATGTTCAAACATTGATACAACTGTTATGCAAAAATAAGTTCTTTTCAAAAGAAGAAAAGTGCCTTTAAGAAAAGGCACCATTAAATGTTTATTTGTCATGCAGGTCATAGAAACTGTATATATAATAAGTCTAAGCTCATTATAACAGACCTGCTTACAACAGACATTTGAATATAACATACCAGTTTGTGAAGTTTGTTTGGTTTTCCTCTACAGACCATTGACTCAACTTCATATCTTCATACAACATACTCCTCTTACAACAGACCGAAATCTTGGTCAAAATCAAAGTCTGTTATAACGAGCTTAGACTGTAGGCAGTTCCAAATCAAAGAACTGCAAGAACTCACAAGTAATTGGCGAGCGATGTACTGAGCCTGGGCGCTGCGACTTCAGTTTCAATGGAGCACACTTGGGTTCCCACTCCCCTGCTGTCTCTCACGACGACTTTCAAATATACTGCAACAAAAAGCAAAGTGATTCTACGTGAATTCCAATTGAATAAATGTCAATATGCATAAATTTACAAATTTATTTGCTACTTCCCAGCCATAAAAAGAACTGATATGCTTATTCCCTATTAATAATGACTGCTTAGTGGCTTTATGAATGATTGAACTGAACATTTGAGAAATGAACAATAAAAGACTGATTATAAACAAATAGGTAACATCGATGTTACAAAAGGGTGGTAAATACAACTTAACGTACCAATGCCTCTCTGCGAGTTCCATCCAGGAGGTAGCCAGAAGCGGATGCATGGTCGGAATCCGCTGTACACAATTTTGTTCGGTCCGTTGGGTTTCAGGCTGTAGCTCAGTTCATAGAGGAATGGAGGATGAGCACCTTTCCATTCCATACAGTGTAGGCGGAACACTGTCTCCAGTGCAACACCAGAGGTGGGCGTCACAGTGCAGCGGCCGTTTAGGGGGCCTACGGCGACTTCAAGTCGCTGCATGGTTTCACCCAGCAGAGCACTTGTACCTGCGAAAAAGTTGTGTCGGGCAGATGACACAATAATGCATAAACTATCCTATAGATTTCCTAACTATGTAAAGACTGCCAGTCATGGTGAAAACAGGGAAGATAAGTTGATGTAGTTATAAAAAGCACTTTCATATCTGGACTATTAAAACATTGAATAAATTTGACATATATATTCTGCTTTACTGGAAAACAGTTGAATTTAACATCATGCTTCACAAAAAAAAGGATTTCAAAATTAATTTCTTTAGTTAGTTATTTTATTCTGTTCTATACATGGATTTGGGGTTGGCATTTTTGCTATCTTTGGAGACACCCTGCAATAAGATAAAAATATAAATTGAAAAAGATATTTCAATTTGCTAACATTGTTTTTGGTAGCATATGGTAGTGCATGACAGTTTTTGTTTTAAGAAAAGTTGGTCGCTCCTATAGTCACTGAAATAAAATTAAACAGCCTTACATAATTTTTTCGCAATTTTCTAGAAGCTCTCATGAACGAGGCATCTCCTTACCTTTTTGAAAAATGCTGACTTGAGCCAAGTATGTGGATCCAACCCGAAGTACCCCAGGATGCAAAGTAAGCCAATGTGGGGCTGATCTTGTTGAGACACTAGGACCAATGTCAACCATCACTCTAGGGTACCGCATGGTTTGTAAGACCTTCGAAACATATTTCGGAGATGCTTCACCAGTGCTTCTGACCCGACGAGCTTGCAGTAATCCTTGAATGCAAAAAATTACAGGAGGACGCTTAGGCTTCGCCTTTAAGAGTGGAATGCGATAGCTAAATATGAAAGCCCCGCTCGTTCCCAAGCCGTGCAAGCGTGTCTGCGTGGCCTAGTGCGTAGCGTGTCAAGCTTGCAATTGAAGGGTTGTGGGTTCGGTCCCGCTCCATCTAAAATTCTTCTAATTTTTTCTTTAAGGCAAATTAATTGCTTATCAACCAATCAGGATTTCCCCTTCCCACCGACACCAACGCTGGCTTTTCTGCAACACAAGCTCCTTAAAGCTATTACTTTAAAAGTGATAGCTTTAAATGGCCCCAAAGTAAAACCTCTGCAGATAAAAATTAATGTTAGACAAGAGCACAAGGTACAAGTGATAAATCAGCAGGTGACTCCAACTATAAAAAAAAGCACATACCCAAAGATGCCGGCTGTTTCCTTTGATGAACATTCAAAGCTCCCAATTGACTTCTTTCAGTACCATAAAAGGGTCTCGAAAAATAGATGCCTGAAAGATGGGCAAAAACAAAATTACACATTAGTAATTTCTTTTGCACCTGCTGTGCTTACCAGACATTGACATACAAGTGAGTAAGTATAGTCAAACAAAATGAAATAACAACTTGACACTAATTATTTTTACCGAGCCACTTCGTGGAAATATCAGTATGTATTAGTAATAGACACTTACGCTGGTTACGAGACCTTGCACTTCCCAGTTCTCCTGTGGGACCTTCCTTGATGTCATCCAGATAAGATTGTCTTCCTAAACAGAACAGAAACCTTAGCTAAGAATGCATACCAAACTTTATGTATGAATGAATGTTGCCTTCAATGCATTGCTGCTATCACATATTCAGCAAAAAAATGTTTTAACATGCAGGTTCATGTCCTGAGGTCGAATCACTTTTGAGAATGCATGAAGCGGCAGCAGGCAGACGACCCTCAGTCCTTCCTTACAAATCTGGAATGCATTTCGTGGTTACATTTTTTTATAAGACTAGGATTCACTGAATGAAGGTAAGCGTCACACATTCTAGGGGGATCCGGTGGTTGAGCGTGTTATCACACTGCAACTTAGAGCACATAGGGAAAATGATCATGTTGCACAACCCAGGAATACTGAGTTTGATTCCTACCCACTTGCCTGTTTCAACCTGGATAAGCCGTGCAGTCATGTATCCCTACTGCATAACACATTAATTTTTTTTAAATATCCCACGCTAGCAGTCTTACTGAGCTGGCTTAATTTCTCATCCGCGGTGTAAACCAGTATCATTATTAAATATACTTGAGAGTGACACATCAAATCTTCAGGAGTTACATTTACTTGAGTGAATGAGGATGCTCAATCTTTTTCATGGAAGCTAGCCTATTGAAGTTTAAAGACTAAAGTTATTACAGCTTTGATAAAAATGTGTCTTCAATAGAACCTCACTTTTTTAGACAAATTATATTTCCATAAAAATTAATAAAAGTGAGACGTGACTTTAGTTTCGAAACCAGCATAAAATCAAATCAGCAGATCAATATTTGAAATATGAAATGAAATACTGTAAACAACTTAATTTTCGCGGGCTCAAATTTTTGCGAATCGGGCCAAAGTTGAAAAGTTGAAATTATTCGCGGGTTCTAATTTTCGCAAATCGAGTGTAGCTTCCGTAGCGTTCAGATATGGCCTGAATTGTTCGCGGGACGTATTTTTCGCGAATTGTAGGCAATTCGCGAAATTCGCGAAAATTAGGTCCTTACGAAAATTTAGTTGTTTACAGTAACTTACTCTTCAATATTATTGTAGTACTCAACGAGCCTACAGACCTTCTTAAAAAAGATCACCTTCAGTGGATTGACAGCTCATGACAACTGACTGACGACTGACTGACATCTAATTGACAGCGAACTGGCAATTAATCAACTACTAGTCAACACCTGATTGACAACTCGTAACTAATTTACATTGCACCCTTTTAAGAACCTTAAATGAAGTATGCAGGCTCTGCAAGCCAGTTAGCAGTAACAGGACATAGGTTTTTTCACGTTTTACAAAGACAGGTTATTGACAAACACCAAATTTTACTGCCATAAATGTTACCCAGATAAACCTAGTTCAGTACGCCAGTCATTTTGGCAGAAGCATTCCTCTTCCGAGAGAAACACAGCAAACACCAGAGATTGCTTTCTTGAACTAACTGTACTAGTATTTTTGTAAAGAACTTGCAAATTATGCTAGCACAACAGAGAACCATACCAAAGATGAAACTTGAGTTCTTTCTGATGTCAAACTTTTCACTAGACGAGAGCAGAATTGGGAAGACTTTTGAAGACTCTTTTTCAGATGCCAAGAAGCCGAACCCACCATAATAACCTGCAAGAGTGAAATGAGCTAAAGTCAGCCTGTCCAAAAATAAAGTTGAATTCTTTTTTCTTTTTTCATTTTGATTTTAGGAAAAGTCAATGCACAAAGAACACTGATCATCAGGGGACCCGGTAAGTACCTTTCTGAAGTCTTGTCTGTTCATCGGTAAGTCCCAAAATAGCAGGAAAGGGAGGAAATACATCCCCTAGAAAGCAAAACAATAATGGTGTGAGAAATGTACAAGCACTTTCGAGTAGGTACCAAAGAATACCACTAACATCAAAAAAAAAAAAAACTGCAGTTTTTTTGTTTTTTTTTTTGTCAAAGAACAAGTTTGCAGCAGTCTCAAAAGACTAATCTTCTATTGCTTAGATGCTGCTCATTGCTGGTCGATAAAGTGCGCAATAGTAACAATCCTTCTAGTCAGCTGAATTTAAAAGGAAAACTTTTTTCTAAATCAATTCAGCTCAGATTTATCATTCTAGAAAGAATTGATAGTGGTTTGGACCTCTGCCAGTATATTAGCTTTGTGTAACTCTGCCAGCTAAGATATATGCAGCACATAATGCATTTTAAACTAAACATATATATTGACGTGCAGTCTCGAATCCTTGTGAAAATAATAAAATCCAACAAAATCAAAGCACATTAAGCTGCACCCCTCTTGAATTTTAAAATATCAACTTAAAAAAAATATTATTTTTTTATATAGTGCCAGACTTGAAACAGAAAGCTTCCAACATTTCATATAATACTCCAAACATACCCCAAGCAAAAAAAAAACTAACCTGCTAAAGTCCCTTTTCCTTTTCTCTTCTCAAATCATCAAGGAGAACCAATTAAAATGGACCTTCCTAAGGAATATAATAAGGAGCTTCACCTTTCTCCTCCTTGACATCAGGAGGGCTATTTTCAGATGGCTCTTTGGCATTCTTGGTGTCTTTGGACAGTAGTAAGAATGTTGTACCATCGGGCTCTACACATCTTCCATCACCTGCATTGGGTTGAATGTGTAACTTCGTAGCGGCTTTCTGCAAAAACGCAAAATCAGGCCAAATCAACTTACCGAGAAGAAACCTATGATTCCCATCGAGTACATGCCAAAGCTTCCAGGCATACTCAAAGTCACTGTCAGTGCCACAGTCTATGCAAGCTGCTTGTAGCAACAGTTTCTTTTCACCATTTACCGAGTGACCGTCACAGGATTCACACGTGATGTAGAAAGTACTGAAATGCAAGAAGGCATTCATATTAAAAAAAAATACTTGCCTGGCAAATACTTTCGTCCACTTATTTACGAAATTGTGGTAATTGTGAAAATTCTGGTAATAAAATAAGCAATCAACACATCACCCCCGGTTTTGAGCAACGTCTTCCATGAAAATTGTTTTACAGCAGAGCAGTTAAGGGCTAGTTTCCCGAGGACCGTGTCCCACGCAAAGAAATGAAGACACCAAACTCTGGGACACCTACCGCACCTATGAGCGACGGCGGCAAGCCACGTATTTGGTTGCCGCCGTCGCTCATAGATGGCGGCAGCCTTTCCACTCTGGCTTGCCGACTTGCGGCCGGCTGTTACTTTCCATTGTACAGCTCCGCTGGTCTTTTTTCTTTACCAGAGTGGAAAGGCTGAAAGTTTTTTATTTTATAATTAATTCAGTATAAGAAACAGCATAATATGTTTTTGTGAAACTCATCAAAATTGAAACAACTATACCAGCATCTGCTTCTGAAAGTGTTGTCTCAACAGCTATGCACCATGTTTTTAATGGAAGCCTTAAAATGATCCGAAATCATATAAATTTACTCCTTTGTCAGTGTTTTCCAAACTGATATGTGCAGAAAAAAAACTAATAAATACTGCTGCCTATGTATTTAAAGAGAAAAAATAAATTAATATATGTTTCAAAAACTATAAATAAGAAAGTAGAAAGTCATCAAAGGTTTAGCCGAAGAAAAACATGGTGGAATGTTTCATCACGTCCTGTCACAAAATAAATATGGCAAAAGAAGGTTAAAGTAGTCTATAGTTCACGAATACTAGAGATCAAAGGCTAGTGTAAAAATTGTGTTTCGAAGCCTCCAATAGTAGAAACTTTTGCACAACTCACCGGGCATGAGAGAATCCATGAGACATGTCGAGAACCACTTCAGCAGATGTTGATGATGAATCATGACTCATAGTTGAGCGAAATAAATATGTCCCAAGATGTCCATGGAGATACGAAGTGGGAAATGTTAACGTGCTCATATTAGTTGCCGGCAAGAAGGGACTCATGCTTTCAAAGCAGGGTGAATTAGAGCCAAGTCTGCTGCATTCCCAGCTTAGCCTAGGAAAAAATTAAATATATACTAAATATCATCAGGAAGATTGACAAGGTATTAGAACTGCACATTTCAGAAAAAGTATATGTGTAATGCTTAATGAGAACTGATAAAATACAAGAAATAATTTGTTTTTAAAATGGTGCACTACATTTAGAACAAAATATTACAACCTATTACATTGCACTGCACTGTAAGGAACCCTTATTAAATAGATGCAAACTTACTGAGACCAATCGATGTCTGCACTGAAATTGGCTTCAAGGGATGCATTCATTGATGTTGCAATCATTCGCCAGATACCACCTTGAATAAGGACTTCAGCAGGAGGTTTGATAATGTGGAATGTGATGTTTTCTGTTTTGTAAACGACGCTGTTCAGCATCTCAGCCTGCAACAAAAGTGGCCAAATTCAATAAGAAAAAAGGTACCAACTTTGAAATAATGTAATATAAATGTATTAATAATGTCCACCTTAGGGTTGAAATCGTTTCTTCACTCAAGTTATACATTTTGGATGGGACATCTCCAGAAGTGCTAGCTCAACCTTGATACATCTTAAAAAATCTGAAAAGCTAGGCTTTCTACTCACACAATTTCTGATTCATATTTTCATTATAAGTATACATGTGCTATATTAATTTTAAAAATAACAAACAACAAACTAAGTACAATTTTTTTTCCACGTGAGGAAGGCAGAGGGAAAAGAAAGCCGTACATATTTGGGCAGTTGTATTGTCCCTATTCAATTCATACTCTAGTTTTCCTTGACTATTCTAAAAAGCGTGAAAAAGATGATCACTCATTAAAAACAATTACACTCAAAAGGGACCAAAGATTTGCACATTTCGCAATCAAAGGACAACAACGTTTCTTTGTGTTTTTCGTGTTTTTTTTTTTTTCTTCACAGGAATGAGCTGCTATACTTCGTTTCAGCTTCGGTACGAGCGCGGCCAATGTTATGAGCCGAAGGGCCAATCAAACACCGCAAAAAGCGCAACGTCATGGCGTGCTCTTGGCGCTTGATAAGACTAGCCGGTGGAGGAGCACGCACGGAGAGACGGCGAATACCGGCTGGTTCTACCAACTGCAGAGAGCACGCCATGACGTTGTGCCTCTTTCGCTATTTGATTGGCTCTTCGGCTCATAACATCGGCCGCGCTCGGACCGAAGCTGAAACGAAGTATAAAGCATAAGAATGATAGTTAAATGTACCCACGATCGCAAATTTTCTGCCTCGCTAAAAATTAAAAGAAATAAAGGTGACCACAAGAAATTTGCAAATTACAAAGGCCCCCAACACGTACACCACCGTTTAATGAGGGACCCTAAAGCACTAAGAGGAGAAAAAAGACAAAAAAAAATCCTGTAAGCATACTTTTTTACACAGCACCCAAAGACCTACGGAAACACAATGCCTAAACACGGACATCGAGCAACCAAAAAATAATCGCCACCATTCCCGAGCGGCACGAATCAATCTTATGCGCACTCTTTGGTTTGCTTATGAACACGCTTATGCTTATGAATGAAACATGCAAGTCGGTGCAAACCTTGAGAAAAAAAAAAAAAAAGGCGCGGCATACCGGTGAGATGAACTGAGCAAAGCGCCACGTTCTTACTCCCTCTCCCACACCCAAACATGCTCCGTGTATGCGTGTTGCTTGTCCCTCATCATAAACGAAAGCATCAAGGAATTCTTTTGCTACTGCTAAAAAGCGGTAGCAGTTGACTGTTACGCAAATCTGACATTGAAAAGGGCTTCGCCGGTAGAGAACCACATACAAAAAAACTTTAATCTTCCTACAGGATATGAAATCAGCACCTTCAGATCGTGAGACAAGTCTTAGCTCTACAAAGTGTTTTTTCTCTCTCTCTCTTTATTGTGAGTTTATCCCCAATCGATGTCTGCTAGCACGCAGAAGCGAACCCACTGGCGCGGTCGCGCGCTTCGCGGCCTTTCCTGTCATGCTGCGCCATCTCACGGCATGCGTCAGAAATGGGAGTGAATCTTTGGTCGGCGATGCCGTTCAAACGCCCTTCTCTTCTTCCCTGGAAGGCCTTTCACACGTTTTGTGCTTACCAGTCTCTGTCAGCCTGATCAAGCTCCTATATTTTTTTTTTTTTTTCTGCGCGTGATTGTTTAGGCAGACGATAGCGATCGTGCAAAGACGACGAGCGCTGTGACGATGCGCTTTTGGCGCTGTTTGATTTACGCCATCGAATACTAGCGTCGGATGCGGTCGGTCTTAATGTGAAAAGCAGTATAAATTTCGTAGAGTACGGTGTGGAATAAAATCTTCCCAAATCCCCGGTTACAACGAGGAAAAAAATTAATATGGCTTAAAGCTCGCAGATTAGTTTATTTCCCTTTTCTCATCAATCCTTCGCTGTACCTGCTGCTGACTGCTCTTTAATTAAGGGGATCATTATTTCCTCTTCCCGCAAAAACGCAACAAAAAGAAAGGGAACTTAAAAGGTAAGTAAGCGGTTTTTTTAAGAGCTTATCTAGCAAGTTGTAATTATTCTAATTGCCTGGCGGTAACGTGAGGGCGGAGAGGTAAAGGCGCGCTCCCCTTGGACGTTCCCCGCTTCCTCTCTAAGCAAAATAAAACTAACCCGCTTAACTACCACAAGCGTTAACTATACACCCAGTGTTGTACACGTTCCATCGAAACAGGAACGAAAGTTCGAGCGCTCCTCCTTCCTCCTCAATGTTGGAACGAGTTCCCGTAACAAGTTCCAGTGGTTCGAAAGGGCCGTGCTCCCGTTACACTAGTATGATGGGAACGCGTCGTTACTTTAACACTTGATTTCCCTATTGTGCTGGATAATTACTAGATCAAATATAGAAAGAAACTGAAAATGCCCAGATGGAACGACCTGTCCTGTCACCACAATGAGACTTGTCTGAGTTTTTTTTTTCCCCGATTTTTTTTTTTTTTTTGTGGCCTGAAGTTGGAGGTTGCAATACTTCATTATAAAAATGAGAAGAAAAAAAGCTAAACGCTTACTAAAATTGCTAATTATATAAACAAACAAAGAAGGCCGTTTTTCCCACCGTTTCTCGAAAACGTAATGTTCAGCAAAATGTAACGCTGGCGTTCCACCGTATCTCCTAAAAAGAACGCGTTCTAAGAACGTCGTTCCTGGAACGCCGTTCCGTAAACGCTGACTGTAGCAACGTGATCAGGGTGTGCGGCATGTGGAAAAACACGTCCTCCCTTTTTTTTTCGTATTTTAATTACATTTAGCATAGGTGTATAACTTAAGAATGTGATCAAAACTGCTAATTACTATGTCCGTTAGCCGAACCTAAACAAACAAACCGAATTAATAAATTAAAAAACTGACATTAATTTACCCGGTGTTTCGCATGAGTCCAACCCATAATAATGTCACAAAAAACAGTTTTGCATGCTAAGAGTTAAAAATATCTCAACTCACTTAAAAGTTTTCAATAAAAAAACAAAACGTTTCTTATCAACAGAGACGAATTGAGCCTTTTTATTGTAAAAAAAAAAGGTTGGTGTGGGTTGAGTTAAAAAAAAGCAGGGGAGAGACAAGAAAAGTACCTCCCACTTTGGTTTCATTTCCTGGTATGATTAAAACTCCATAATGTCTAGTCACATTTTTGTTTTCAGTTTGTCAAGAAAAGGGCGAAACTCCGTGTCTGTGTGCATTGGGCAATACCGAATAAATAATTCCGTTCGTGTTTACTCCTTCAGTGTTTTCAAATTGCTAACAACGGGCTCACCTTCTGCATCGACGACAAGAACGTTTTTTTTTCTTTGTATCAGTAATATTTTACCGGAGGAAGTTGCTTTAATATTTTCAGAAATAATTGTGCGCTCCGTAGCCCCACATATGTACGTGGTAAATTACGGTGTCCAAGCGGATACAACTTTTTTTTATATATAATTTGATTTAAAATGAGTCGGCCTATTAGGCTTGGCTTAGCTTGGCTTAGACTTAGGCTTCGACTCAAAAAGGGCCGTCCGGAGCAAAAGTTTAACGATGGAAGAATTGTCGATAGAAACAGCGCGGTCGTTTTCTCCGGTTAGAAGAGATGCAGCGTGATCGCTACGTTTTCGATTGTATCGCTCTTCGGCGTTTTAATGCCGTAAAGGCATCATTCGACATTAGGCTTGAGGATCTAAAGTGGTCGGTTACGTCATGAAAAACGCACTAAAGCCCTTTCCAGTACATCTTTAGTTTTGGAGTCAGGACACCGGGAAACCATGGAGACAAAACATACACTGAAATATCATCTGGTGGCGCGGTAACAGAACTTTAGAGCTGAATTCGGGTTTCCAGACAACTGTAGCAAATATGTGCGTTTTTACCGGCAAACCATGTAGAATTAATCCGCGTTTTACGTATAAAATGCTCCTATATTATAAAAAGAAAGTAAAAATAAAAACCTTCGAAAAGATGCGAGCAAAACAGTGAAAAAAACAACTCTTTTTTAAGAAAAACAAAAAAACGTACAGTAATTTTTCGGACACGGAGTTAGGTTTAAAGCATGAAATTATTTTATTGCTTAGAGCTTGGACGCGATCGTTCCTGTCTGTGCCGACGCCCCAGATGGAGCCGGAGGGGCGAAATCAACTTGGCAGCTGGTCAACTCCGCGGACGCTTCCATTCCCAAAACACTTCTTCAATTAATTTTTCTTTTTTACGCCGAACCTTTACGCGATTGTAGTAAAGAACAAAACATTTTATGCGTTAAAAAAGAACGTAGACGAATGTGACCAAGTATCACAGGAAAGCTGGACCGGCCTCATACATGAATTACGCGGTACAACAGCAGGCTCGGAGATATAATTACAGCGGAGAACTCAAAGAGGCACGCACAAAAACGAGAGCCGAGACATGTTGGAAGCGGTTGCGACTCCAGGAAAGCGGCAACGACTCGACAGTGGCAAGAACATAAAATAACACAGTGGCAAATCGTAATAACAAATGAACTAAAACGTACGAATAATAATTTTTAAAAAAATTGCAAGACGCAAGCTCACTTAGGCGATAACGGCTGCTGCCTGAGCACATCGTACAGCCTACCACTCTAGAGGGCGGAAGAGCAAGAGAGAAGTGATAGAGGAAGAGAGAGAAATGAGAATTGGAGACGAATATGCAAGGACCCGAAGATGAGGCGGACACGCAAGAAAAAACAGTGCACGCGTACCCAAGGGGCTACAAAAATAACACTAGCGAAATAAGAAAGATGCATAGAGATGGAGACGACCGTTGAGTTCCGAGAAAGCGTATTCCAAGAACGACCGACGAAAGAAAACAAAAATGTAAGAGAAGCGAGAAGCTGGCAGCGCTGAAGGAACCGGCGTCGTGATTAATGATAAAGAGATGCACCATTTCCTCCCCCTCCCCCAAATACCGAAGGAAGCAGCTGAATTAATACCAAACACAATTAATCAAAGCACTAGTAAAAACCAAGAACGAGGATTCAGTAGTATAGTACCTCCCGGGATCCGAGTGTTGATCTTCTATTTCCTATTTGTTTGTTTTCTTTCTAGGAAGAGGGGGGGGGGGGGGGGGGGAAGGGGTTGCCTGGAGGCACGGAGTGTTTATAGTATAGATAGCATATGCGCGGGGACATCATCGTTTGGCTGGCATTTCGGCATCCGATAGCTATGTGCTTCGATACATTGTCTCCCCTCCCCGCTCCTATCTAGTGTATTGCTCATAAGAGATGGGGCGCTTTCCTAGGGATGGGCTCGGTACTTCTAGCTGCGATTATCATCCATAAAGGTACGACAGAGTGAGGCGAGAACACGACGGAATAGACAGCCATAAGGTTGACGCGCATATAACATCGACACAAGGTGAAAAAAAAAAAAGAATTTCAGCTTTTAACATATTCTATGGTGGCATGTCAAGATACACTGTCAAGGCTTTTTTTTATCTTATTTATCTATTGTCAAAATTCGTTTGAAAACTCGTTGTGGAGACCATTTCAATAATGTGGAGACTGCCATTTTCTTCTACTAGGATGCGGTACACGTTCTGGGCTTGCGCAGTAGCTCTCTTTTGCGAAATATGAGACACCGCGTTTGCGTCCGCATCCCTATGACTCAGCATTTTCCTCCAGGATGATAGGTGCTGAAAGGTGTATAGTCCGAACGGGATTATAATTTGTAATCCCGTTCAGACAATACAGCGTGAAATACCACATTTCTCACAACACCCATTAGACAAACCTATAAAAAAAACAAAAAAAAAAAAAACAAGGTATTTTTAATTTATATAGAGCCGAGAAATGACGATCGTGTCATTGAGCTCACCTTGAGCGAAGCGACGTACTCTCCGGGGAGGAGTGATCTCGCGGGAAGGTGCAGATCCTTGCCCAGTCTGATCACAGGGATGGGAACGACGATCATCCCGGTCGATGAACGTTTCCAAATCGTCCAAGAGTACTTCACTTTGTTCGAAGCCGAACACGACGTGCTCACGTCAGTCTCGATGTGAATGTCCTGATCATAACGTGCCTGAAAAAAAAAAAAAAAATATTAAACAAGAATTAAGCACGTCTTAGTCACCTTTGGTAAACTCAGAGACGCACGGAATGTGTTTCGAAGGAGCTGTGCACGTGTTGGGTGTGTACCGTGACTGTGACCTCATGCGTGTTTCGGCAGTACTTTCTTTCAAACAGTCTCAGCTTAGACGCTGATTCTGGAAAGCCGACCTAAATGCGATCCCGGCCAAACTCAGCGAAATTCCAAGTTCAACGTGGAAGCAAAGAGATAGAGTGAACAAGTTTTGCGGCATGTAAAAAAATAGAGCGGGGATCTCAAAGCAAGACGTCCCTTAGTGAGACTTTGTTACACAGCACGTGATGGAGGAGTACAAATTCGCTTTTGTAGTAAGTATATTGCAAACGTATCGCTGTTAAGTCTCACTTCTTTTTTTTTGCTATAATAAAAGAGCGATACAATTTTAGTAGAAAGATCACGATACCTCTTCAACACTGTACATGCTGATCACCGGCTGGTCACACGGTTTTTCCAGGACAAACACGTTCGTTTCGAACTCCGCCCGGCTATAAGCGTTCTGAAGAGTCACCTGCACCCTGTATTTGCCAGTTCTGGTGAAAGATGGAACAAGAAACAAAAAGAAATACGTTCGGGCGATTAGATTGTTTACAAAGTTTATGAATGCCACCCAATCTCGAATGGAACCAGGGATGCACCACAAAACGCCTGACGAATTGGAAAGGTAGCCGAATCCGACCGAATTCAGTGTGATCGGTTACGGTACACCCAAAGAGCATTGCAGCAGACATACCATGAATGTACACCTTGTTATTCACCTTTTATTATGTCTAATAGGCACCGACAGGCTAAGATAAGGCCGCCTTAAAGGGATACTACAACGAAATTTAGGCGCTTATTTTTTGGTCTATACGTGTTCAAAGGTGCAATATTACATCGGACACAGCAATATCTTGCTGAAAAAGACACGAAAAGGAGTTTTAAAACAAATTAAACGATTAGCAAAGAATACCTGGTGAACGTCGCTAAAACCTCGTTTGTAATGCCCGTCTAGAAACCTTGACAGGCAGTGACGACTACTGCCAAGCCTAGAACCAACTTTATCAGATTAGCTCAGTTACGGAACTGCTCATAGACGCTGCATGCACGAGCAGTACACTCTCCGGCAATATGAAAGACCCACTGGGAGCGCGTGGCCGAGGCGGTGGCTGGCGGGGGCGCTGCGAGCGCTCCGGGCAATTCCATTCTGCTTCGAGGGGAGGACGCTCACTCGGGGCTCAGATAAAGCGAAACGCGCTTATCAGTTTGTGCCGAGTCCCGAGTGAGCGTCCTCCCCTCGAAGCAGAACGGAACTGCCCGGAGCGCTGGCAGCGCCCCCGCCAGCCACCGCCTCGGCCACGCGCTCCCAGTGGGTCTTTCATATCGCCGGAGACTGTACCTCCCCTCACTCACCACGACTCGCCTCCCGTCGCTCGACGCGCTGGACGGCTGCTATGGTTACTGCAGTGTATTCTATGGGATATGTACTATCGGGGAAAATTGAAATGCGAACAGAGGAGCGCGTGGCTCGCGGTACAGGCTGCGCCGCGTGGAAGTGAGCCTAGGAGCGAGGGTGCGTGGCGTACTCCGACGTGTTCACGCCCCTCCCTCTGCGCTCCCCAAGCTTCAGCAGTGCGCTTCTTAGTGCGCTGAAAGCTACCACCGCTATCTTTGCTGGCTCAGCGCGTGCGGTGCAAAGAAGCTCGCCGCACTCGCCGAGCAGGCAAAGATTGCGGTGACAGCTTTCAGCGCACTGCGAGGCGCACTGCCGAAGCTGGGGGAGCGCCAATCGAGGGGCGTGAACACATCGGAGTAGGCCACGCACCCTCGCCCCTAGGTTCACTTCCAGGCGGCGCAGCCTGTACCGCGAGCCACGCGCTCCTCTGTTCGCATTTCAATTTTCCCCGATAGTACGTTTCGAAGCACAGCGTCTAGAGGGTATTCTACCGTACTGTATGGAACACACAGTTCGTAAACGAAAATCTAGATGGCGCTTCGAATGACGGGAGGCATACTGAAGTAAGTGAGGGGGTACCCCCTTCCGCGCGAGTTCCACAACTGAGGTAATCTAGTAACGTGACGTCATCCGGGCAGCTCTAAGGCCAGCACAAGAGAAGAAGGGAGGAAGGAACTCCTCACTCAATGGGACTTTCTTTTTTGTGTCCCAGGCGTCGCTATTCTCACTCTACAAGATTACAGAAGATGAACCCGTCACTCAAAATTCACACATAAGCAGCTTTCTGGTTAGTTGCAGTACCCCGAGCGCTGGCATGCTTCGACCGCTTTGGTGGCTGGAACGGCTAGGGCATCCTGACGACGTCAGCCTCGCCGCAGATTTGCTCATCCCGAGACAAACTACGTCAGAATTGCGCGGGATGCGACGTACTCTCCGCTGGCTGCTCTCCAAGCGCTTGCCAGAGTGGGCCGTTTATAACGAAAAATAGAGCCATAAGGCTCAAAATACAAACGTGCGATTGCCATTTACGGATATTGTGGATCAAATTGAGCCTCTTTCTGAACACGACGGATATATTTCAAATTTCGTTGAAGTATCCCTTTAACACGCGTGCGTTTCAAAGTCAACCTCAGGTCATTATGCTGCATCAACTCGTGCTTCTTTTATTCCTTTGTTTGGCAGCATCTGAAATAGTAACTGTAAGCCGAAGCTCTTAGCTTTGACGGTTGCGACGGTGCCATTTCGTTCCACGGCATTATTTAGTTTATTCGTGTTCTGTGATCGCGTGCTATGCGCCGAGAAACTGTAAAAAGAGGAGACGAGAGCGCGCGGGGGGACGTCCGGACGCCGAGCTTCAACTGGAAGGATTAGTGGATCGACATAAAGCTAGCTGCATTCGTCTCCACTCACTTTGCGCGCGTTCCAACCCAAACGCCGGGGTTCGGCAATCGATTGAGTTCGAAGTGTGAGTAGACAAAGGCAACTAGCTTCGCGTCTGCCCTCTAGTCATTCTAGTCAGAGCTCGGCGTACAAACGTCCCCACGGGCTCTCGACTCCTTCTCTACCTCAGTTACTCGTCGTCCATATGTACAACCATAGCCTCCTCTATACTGACAATTAGAGAGAGTTTTAGCAGATCGTTTTTTCGCCCCGATAACGATACCTCCTCTCCCTTCCGGCTGCCTTGGGCATGCATGGTGTCGTTATTGGGACGAAAAAACGATCTACTAAAATTCTCTAATGCCTGGCAGATCGCCACGTGAAGCGGCTACCGAAATGGAAAACGTGGAGCGGCAGACAACGGAAAGAGGAGAGCCACGTGACTGGCGCCCCGCTGCGGCGGAACGCCGAAACATACTTCTCCCGAGCGAACACGTGTGTTTCGGGTTCTCGCCGATGCAAAAGCTGTGCGCTGACGTCCAGGTTCCCCGAGAAATGGCTCTTTGATGCTCCGTGCTACCTGATTCTCGAGCTCCAAATCTGTGACGGGGCACTCTATGGCTCCGTCGTCGAACCGCCAGGCTTTGTGAGTATAGAGGAGGCTATGGTACAACAGCAAGAGTGGTGTCTCGGCTGGTGTCCCATGCGTGCGAGCACGTGAAGCGCGAGTGTAAATGCGGCTTTGGCAGATGAGTGATTGCACATGCTCGCTCACACGCGTAGAGACATGGCAACGGCTAGAGACTGCTTTTGATCCAACAGGTGTTGTGACGATTAGTGCGGTTAACTGTAGTCTAAGCGGGAAGCTATACGTGTAGGTATTGGAAAAGTCTCGCTGCAGATGTGCACAGTAAAACGAAATCATACTTGAAAGAACAACCAGAGCGAGACTATACTTCGTGCAACATCAGAAACAAAGGACCAGTACCTATTGTAGACGTGCTCGGCATGTGGAACCACGTCCAGCGTGGCTGGACTCCCGTCTCCGAAGTCCCAGAGGAAGGTGAGGTTGGAGCCGAACCAGAAGAGCACCTGGAAGCGGCTGACGCGTCCCACCAGCACGGAGCCCGAGTGCCGAATCCCGGTGACGTTGCCCACCCGCTGAACGAGGTCCAGGCGCAACGGAGCGGACGACACGTAGCTCACGTGGTTCTGGCACGTCGCGTTCACCAAGTAGCTGCGCAAGAATGCGCGCCCAGCTGAGCTGGCGCTCGGAACTTTGCAGAGGCGTCTGCACTTTAAAGTAAGCTAAAACACAGAAAAAAAAGCTGTGTTAAAAGCACTTTTTTACGTATTTTTTTTTGTCTATTAGTAAAGTTTTTTTTATTAGAGAGATTTAGCATAGCGTAACGTGACTTTCCAGTTGGTGATCCGTGTTTAAAAATGACGCGGCATATCAGCACAAAAATAAAAAAAAAAAAGGTGCAGGAAGAAAATATGTTCCTGAAAAGCTCGCAGACAAGCGACCCCCGTTTAGGCACTGAGAATCTGACGCTGTCCCAGCGTTATTCCCCGCTCGTGCCTCCTACTTCCTATACGATGAGCTGTTGACGACGCTGGAAAGAGGGTATACGTGAGGCGTTAAAGAGACAAACCTTTTAGCCGAGTACGAGGCGTTTATCATTTTCTTTCTTCTACTCTGTTTGACTATCTCTGAGCGTGCATGCCTGCTTGCAAGTGTGCGTGTGTGTGTGCGTATGTGTGTGCGTGTTTGAGTGTGTGCGCGCGTGCATGTGTGTTTAATTGAAATACTGGAGCTCGGCAGGCTATGCAGCGAAACAAACACACAGGCTTTTTTTTTTTCTTTGACATAAGCAACATTCCAGAATTCAGTTGTTGTTAGCGTTGGTGAACCAGAATCCAGTAAATACGGCATTCGGACTGCACCGCGATGTTCACCCCTCAACTGACAGTGTGGTGAGAAGTGAGCGGACCAATCAGCCACTCCCTCACATCAACTCCGCTTTCTGCGCGAAGGTATGCGCGACAGCATGATCACGTGACAAAAGTCTGACGCGTGACTAGTTTAACGAGCTCGTAGCTTTCACAATTGCAGTCAGCTCAGCACCTAACGGAGTATTGGGGTGGACTACTCCTCATGAGGGGTAAAATAAAAACATGATATATAGTGCTGCCTGCAAACGGCGAGGGCCAACTTCGCAGGGTTCAGTTCGTGAGTTCCATGTCCCGGACCAATCACGTCACGCGGAAAAAGAGAGACGCGGCCTGTTACTCCTCGCGGCGAAGTTCCTTTGTTGGACTCGCGTGTGGTGTCTTCGGGGTTCCGCCCCGGGACCGGAGTGGCAATCCATCAAGAGCACGGACCCCGGTGGCAGGGACGCGAGGGCGGGGAAATTAGACGCACTGCGGAGCCCCGGGCTTAATCTCGTGGCACACTTGTTCGAACGGGGAGTACGACAAGAAAGGGTCGCCGAGAGATTTGCGTTTTGTGTCTTTGCCTGTTTCTGATAGTCCTTTTTTGTACTTCGCCTCAACTTACAAGAAGGATCAACATCGAAGAAAGTTGGCGTTTAGAAGACATTATGCACACACTCATTGTTAATTTAAAAAAAAAATATGCAGCTGCATCTTGATGTATCGATCAAACTGTCATAAGCAGAATTGCATTTCATAGGGAACGCAGCCGACGCTTAAGTTCTGAAATAAGAGTCAAAATGCAGGCGACCTGGTACACAATCAATAATATGAGACGGTGGTGTTTCCTTTGCCTGATGTTTTTTTTTTTTTTTTAATTATGATGAGGCTCAAGTTCAGTATCCACCTTCCTGGCACGGGCCGCCGCGTCTTTTCGAAACGTCGCCACATCGTCCTTTTTAATGAAGTGCGTTCTTACTGAAGCTCACTCTCGTTTAGCCTTAAAAAAAAGTGAGCGAAGCGTGCAAGGTCGAAGATAGTTGGAGAAAGTTGGCCGGCTGCCAAACAGCTGCGTCGAGAGCTCCACCAACCGCAATACACAATTAAAAAAAAAAAATAAATAAATAAAAAAAATTAAGCTTTCAAATGTTTGAAAACAAAACCATGAAAAGGCTTAAAAAACAGGACGTGGCGACGCTGACACGGCGTCGCGTGCAGGAACGCTGAGACTGCAGTTGGCGTCTGCCGCGTTTATTATAGAACGCAATTTTGGATATGACAATTTGATCGATCTGTATCGAAATCAAATGGACCTTTTTCGAGAAGCGTTCTGCGTACGCGCGAGCGCCCGATGCCAAGCGGCGGAAGTCGGCACAAAAAATCGAGGAAATTCGGAAGGAGGCTGTGGATCAGCGAGTAGAACACGGAATTGCAGCATATATATAATTGTGTTACACACAAAAAAAAAAGAAAGTGGACGAAAAGAAAAACAGGGAGAACGCACAGACTGAGGCGAGACAGCGTCGCGTGGGGTGACTCAACATAGCGTCAACGCATGACGCGTGCCATATTTAAGTAGTAATTCAATTACTTTTCGAGTAATTTGTAATTCTAATTCATTACTTCTGAGCGAAAGTAGTTGTAATTGCAGTTTAATTTTAGCGTCCGTAATTGCCAAGTCTTGAATTACAATTACAGCTACTTTTGTATGATTTTGTCATGCTCAACCTCGGTTCTATGGAGTTGTTGACTGGACAAAATGCGCTGGGCGTCTGCCTTAATGCTCTTCTGCACGTTGTGGGTTTTCGACTGTGTAGTTAAGGGGTATCCACTTTCATATTCAAATAAAAGATTACATCATCATCATCACACGAAGGAGAACTCCGCGGACGGATGTCGTGACGTCAACAACACGGGAAACACCGTCCCCGGCTCCGCCGCGTGCACCTGAGCAGCTTTCGTGCTGACAGCACGAAGCCTCCGCGTCTCCGCCAAGGACGAGAACGGCGCCGGGAGGTGCCAAAAGGGATGACGTATGTCTCAGGTGATGCGCGCTCCGCGGAGGAAAGGAGCGGATTTCTCCTTCGTGTGGATACCCCATTAGCAAATGTCAAAGCACATGCAGAGGAGTCCAGAATCTGCCTTATATGAAAAGCGCCTGCACGATGTGTTCTTATCTCGAAATGATGAATCTGCAAATTGATAAGCAACGGGCTGGTGTGAGTCATGTCCTACTCAGAACTCCACACCCTATCATACAATTAAAAGCGGTGAAGCAGAGGCCGAAAATGTGGCGACTGTGAAACGCTGTATACTGATTCCTGAACGGCGAGGAAAAGAATTGAAAGTTGCATTTTAGTGTGACCAAAAATGATCTTATATCAGCGTCATTAAGTCGGGTAGCTCTCAAAGGAGTAATTGTGAAGTAATTGCATTACTTTCTAAAAATAATTAGTAATTGTAATGAATTGCTTGTCAGGCAGTGGGGATTCTAATTGTAATTAACTACTTTTTGAGCGCAGTAGTTGTAATTGTAATTAAACTACATTTACGAAGTAATTCACCCAAGTATGACGCGTGCGAACACGCGCAGTTGGTTCGTAGCGCAAGAGTTTGGCAGCTTCCACTGTTCTAGGCCAAGGCGTGCAAAAGAACTCTCCCGAAATTTGTCATCTTCCCTAAGAATGCACTTGTGTATTGCAGATTGTTGCGATACGTTCGATAACGATACCCGATAACGATAAGATCATCTGAAACTTCGTAATAAGCGTGCTTATACTCCCGTGGGAGCCGCGGTGCACAGCGGAAGAGTGCGCACAAAAGCCCTACGGTCCCACTGGGGACGCGAAAAGTAACAACTACCTATAGTCAGTAACAGGCAGAGTATTCAGGGGAAGCTCTTTGTACCTCTTTCCCCTTTAGCAGAGCGAACGCTGAAACCTGTCAACCGCTATAAGTATCTTCATCCTTCACTTACTCGTATTTATTTGTGTGCTCAGAGGATTGGCTAGTAGGTGCCTTTGCATACGGGTTATAGACCCATCTGGTAGCTGTGCGCGTCGCCTGCGTTCCCCCTTTTCTTTTGTGCAAATAAAATATTGACTGATCAATTGGTGTATTGGCTCATTGATTCATTAATTGATACGTCGCAGTTATACTACTCTTAATCTGGAAAGGCGTTCGTGAACTCTTGATATTTCTTTTATACCGATAATATTTCGTAAAAACATGCTCGGTGGGGGAAAAAAGGAATACAACAATAATATGCAAAACAAAACGATGGCGGTAACAAAGAAAAATGTTCCTCGCTGGAGCTAAATATTGCGAGGGCTAGTACACTCATCGGAGCAACGGATCTCCCAGATACACAGATTTGCATTAAGCTGCAAGATATATAAGTCTGGAGCAAGTTGGCAGGGGAAGGAGCTCCTACGTCTGGAGCGAGAGATTGCGAAAAACGAGTAAAAAGACAAAAACTTTAAAACAAATGTTGGGAAAGCTTATCTGGCTTGGCAGAGGATCCTGTTTCTTGTCCCGTTTCTTTTTTTATTTTTATTTTTCAGGATGGTTGCAAAGTTCAATAATTAGCGAGGGAATTTTCGGGTTCGTGTCTCGTTCTTACGCCGACACGGGTACAGGGTAAGCTCTTGTCGGAAGCATCAGTGGGCTGTGTCGATGGAAGCGTAGAAAAGACTTTCTAGAAACCGTGGGGAAAAAAAAGAAAAGAAAAAGAAGTCGCCAGCGAAAGATAAAATAATCTTTCAAGAAGTTCATCCCTTCCTGGATAATCGACTCCGCAACAGGGCTGCCGCTTTGTGTGCTATTTATTTGCCTTAAAACAAAATGTCGTTGTCACGCTTTAGGGTTTAGAAAATCCTCGCCGTGACGAAGGTAAATTACGCGAACCTCTTACATCTTAATCACCCTGTCCGAATTTTTTTTTTTTTTAGAAACATTATTTTGAAGGGAGTAAAAAATCCCGGCATGTTCAAGAATGTACTGGAATATAGCCGCGAACATGCTCTGGATAACATGGCGTGTAAAGACACAAAAACGGGGCAGAAGGAAACAAATAGGAAGTGATGAACACTATTTCTGGAACCAATTTGGAAATTGCATTCGGGGTCGCTCTAATGCGGCTGCATGCTGAAGCCCATTGAAGCGTTTCTTCGTGCAAGTAGCAACAAGTACAGAGGGCACTACGCATAGCACAGACAACAGCAAATTTCTCGGAATTTTTTTTTTTCACAGTTTAATTCAATTTACTTACGATTGTCGCGGAATCTCCACATTTAGACGGCAATTTCGACGCTAAAATGTAGTGCAACACACCAACAAGTACGATTCATTCGAGAAAACGCGTGTTGATGCCGGGTGTTTGTGGCAACTGTCACGGAGTGCATACTCGCCCCGTGCGGCCCTTGGCCGAACAACATGGCGGTGCCACGGCTAAGTCAGCTACCAAGACGCCATCTTGTCTCTCCGGAACTCCCACGTGACACCGTTCTCACGCGTTTAGAAAATAATAATGGTCGCCGGGACCCGCAAGAAACACGCTGTCTCTAGAACCACTGCAAACGCGAGTCATTTTCATTGCTATAAGGACCAATTTAGAAGTCGGCATTCCTATAGAGTATAGACCAACTCAACTCACTGACATCACGCCACTTCGGTGGGGCTGCTGTCGGTACTGAGCATGTGCAAACGCTTCACTGTTCCCGTATTTCGTTTCTGCGCACGGGAAGTGCCCACACCTGGTTTGAACAAAGCTGGCTTTATGTAAACACTGTTGGTGTTTACTAAAGTCGCAACGTCATGGCGAACTCTTTGCGCTTAATTAGATTAGACACGATCACGAGCATTTTTTTTACAGCGAAGCTGTATGTGAACGCAGGTCGGATTTCTGGAATTTCCTACTGTCGTCGTCCTCACAAAAAGAAAAATGCTCAGCGATTGGAGCGAAAAATGCATATCACGCCTACAACATACAGCACAGCGTTCGTTTCGATAAAGATCAAGCACAAAACAAGCATCCGAACAATATAACTGATTATAAGGTGCTCCTGATAAGAATGCGAAGCACGTAGCGCTCACCGCATACGTTTCACGGTAAAGATTACTGCTGCACAAGCTGCCGCGGCGACGTAAACTTTTGACGTGGAAGGTGACGTTTCTAGCGTTTCATATATAAAAAGTATTGGTACAGTGCATTCACTTTTCTTTCGTCACTCATTCGGTATAGACCATTTTGGTGTTTACGAGCGTGAACTGCCTCCTTGTTCCCAAGCGACTTCCGGTCGCTCCGTCTGTACGCACCTGTCGAGCTTGCTTATGTCACCGGTGCTAGAAAGCATAACATACAGCACGTACAACGAAGTTGGAGATTTAACGACGGCCTTCGGCTGGACGATTCAAAGTCTCGGAGGAGGCAAGTTGGTTTACAAGAATATTAGAAAATTTTTAACAGATCTCGCGCTTCTTCGTTCTTTTGGCGTTCACCTGGAGAATTGGTGGTTAAACGTTTCATTGACAATTGGTGGTTAAACGTCATCGACATTTCAAGCAGCGGTGTTAGGGTGGTCCTTGTTCATTCTTTTTATGAACCGGAAGTTCTCTGGGACGTCAAAGACTGGAACACCGCCTGGTGGCGTTAGCCAACAAAAGGGTCTACGTGTAGTGAGCAATCTTTGCAGGTGATACCACAGCTTCGCTGGCCACCCACCTTCACAACGTGGATTGGAGCCACAACTTTTTTGTTTGCTTTTTTGTTTGCGTGTGTGATTGGTTTTGCCGACGATAGGCAAACTGGGATAGACAACGAGTGATATACTTTCGGAGCCGCTAGACTGGCTTCATCGAAATGTAGCGTGGGCTGCCGTCAGACTTCAAGTGAAACCGAACATGGCGTTCACTGTGCTCTGAGGGTAGGCATTAGTCTTCCCTACTCCTCCACCGCGCAAACATTATCATTTTCCTTTGTTTTCTCTTTCGCGCTCCCGCATCGACGGTGGCGCCGCCAAAGTTGTCCCAAGATAGCAGGCGGGATTCTTCGAAAGATGTCTTTACCCATCCTTATAGAGGGGGTTTCAGTTGTATTAAAAAAAGCGCTATCTAAACTCACGTTCCCGGATGATCGAGGCCCAGCAGTATGTGTCCGTCGTAAGTGGCGTAGACCTCCTCGCTGCCTATAGACCACAAGAACCGGACCATCTTCTCCGTCTCGGGCTGCGCTGTGGCTCGGAGCATCATCTTGTCTTCAAGTGGAAGAGTCAGGTCGGCGGGAGCACACACCTCACCCTCCGACAGCAGGAGGCAAAGGTCCATGTCTGTAAAGGCGATTGATGCGAGGGTTATCGCCGATCGACGTCACCAAGCTATAATTATGGCCAAGTCACGTGCGGATAAAGACATCCCAGTACCAAAAATCGAAAATCAGTTGGAACCTAAATTTAAGATTTCGACTGAATAAAAGATCCCCATGGTGCAAAAAAAAAAGGTATTTATTTCGTTTATACTGTCAGACCTTTACACGGTAGAAGTAGAAATATATAAAGAAAAGGAAAATGACACCAATAATGTACACACCGTTTACAAACAAACAAACACCCACAAACACACACACACAGAGACACACACACACACACAAATAATGCCTGCGTGAATTAAGACACGTGCATGGTACGGGATTGGAACGACGCGAATTGAAGCAAAACTGGTAAGTCCATTTATTATGAAACCTACAAGAGCCAATAATGCCATTCTTTCAAGGCACAATGTCTGCCCTTTGTTGGTTCGAAACGTAAAGTAAGGCAACGTGAGGTACCTACATTTCACATCTCTCTCAGCGACGGCCAGTTTTAATTTGAATACCATTAATTAACACCCTCATATGAGCCCAAACCGCTAATCCATTTTATTTAGGCGAGCTGCTATTTTAGCGACTATTGCCCACCAGACTATGTACTAAAACAAAAGTAAGGTTACTGACAGATTGTTTAGAACGCAGTAAAAAAAGTTCAGCGTGCAGTCTAGTAGTCATGTTACGCAGACACCCTTGACCGCTGTTATGTCACCTTTAACTGCTGTTATGCGTCACCACAGTTGCCTAGGACAGCTTTTTCACAAGAAGTGAAGAGTGCGCGCGCACAGTTTTCACGGGCGCCCAAGATGCTCAAGCGCACGTGCTCTCATAGCATTGACTGCATAGCCGCGGAATGATGTCCGGAAATATAGTGTGGTATCTGTGGTAAAAAAAAAAAAAAACTGCAGTTAAAGGGGCCATGCAATGGATTTGGGGATGGAATAAATTATTTCATATTGGGATTTTACCGATCGCATGTCGCTTAGTGGGCAAAAAGAAGGTTAGTAGAAAGTAAAGAGCCCACTTTTCGCTACGAACATTTGAAAAATATAGCGCACTATTTCGTACCTCCTTTCCTTCGAAACTTCTCAGCCTTTTCCCTGCGGTACATCCGCAGACCCCAAAGCCAACATAACTAGATTACCTCAGTTGTAAAACTCCCCATTTTCCTCCCCCCCCCCTCCTCCCCCCCCGCCCCCTTCCCCCAACCTTCCTCACTTACCTCAGTCCGCCTCCCGTCGTTTCAAGCGCCATCTAGATCTTCGTTTCAAAACTGTGTTCCATAGAGTACGGTAGAACGCCATCTAGACGCTGCGCTGCCGAAACGTACGCATTCCCTAATACACTTCAGTTAGAGTGTACTAGAACAAGGGGCAGTGTTGAGACCGGAGCGGCTCGCGTGAGGCGCGTGGTGTAGACACTGTTCTCTATTAGCGGCGAGATGTTTTGGTGGCGCCCTCCTATGGTTCCCCCTTGTGACGTCATTACCTTGCGAACAACAATTTCGATGGTGTTTGTAAATAACATGGTGGAAGCTTGAAATCATTGCGATCTCAAAGAAACATTGCCAACACCGTCGAAATTAAAGTTCTTTCATTCCTCTTATTTCCGTCGATGGTATACCCTTTCCGACGTCATAGTCAGCTTTTGGGCCAATCGTGGAAGGCCGACCACAGCGACGCTTTCGGTCGCGCACGTCGCCAATTGTAGGGGGGGATCGGTGGCCGAGTGGTCTAGCGCACACCAGCTCGGAGCACGTGGAGCGAAAGCTCGCGCTCCAGAACCCAGGGATCCTGGGTTCGAGCCCCACCCCTGCCCGTTTCGATCTGGATGAGCATCGTACCGGCGTGCGGTCGTGTATCACTACTGCGTGATGCACGTTAAAGACCCCAGGCTAGCGGCTGTACCGCACTGGCTAAATTTCTCATCTACAGCTGGGAGACTCGTCGCCCCTGTGAGGCAGACCAAGTTCTAGGCTGTATAAACACACACACAACCCAATTTCGCCAATTGTAGTAGGCTGGATCGCGGATCGGGAGCCCGTCGGCATCGCCACCGGCGGCCATTGCTTGACACCATTCAATACACGCGAGTCTATGGGAGAAACGCACAAAAGTAAGAATATTGAAGCATGTACGCTGTGGTTGGAGGCGAGTATCTTATGGTGTGCTGCGATCCTTATGTCGGGTCTTTGGAGATCGAATCGGTATCGGCCAAACGTTCGAACGCCGATTAAAAAGAACAAACGTACCGGAGCACCTACGGCTGAGCTGGCAACTTGCTCTCGTAGTGGAGTAAACAAAGGAACTTGCCGTCAATGAGACCGTCCTCGGGGAAGCCCAGAAGGTGATATAAGTTCCATCTCGACAGCGGCTTTCCGGGAGTGAGCGAATTCCGCGTAGCAAAGCCTTTGAGCTTGTCGTCTGCTAAACCCAACTCAACGAAACCACCACCGACTCCGCGGTAACTCTAGGTAGCTCTCGCCTCAATGAGCTGCACTACAGCGGAGTCACTCTCGACCAGAAAATATTTATTTATAAGAACTGCGAGGACTGTAGGTTTTAATGTTTGTACGTGAGCTATTTGATGGGCTTATTGAAAAGCTTCCAAAAGGTTTCAGTGCCGACAACAGCTTAGAAACGGGGGAAACGGCACTTTTTCTCGTTCTTTCCATAGAGTCCCATGCATTGGCTGGTGTGAATCAATGGCCGCCGGTGGGGACACTCGGCCCCATCTGCCGAGGCCTCGGTCCGCGATCCAGCCGACTACAATAGAGATCAGTGGGTGTAGATCGCGACAGGTATCGACACCGGCGCATCGGCAGGGTCAGTATGGCGGTGGTTGTGCGCGTGCACCGCGTGCACGCCCACAACCACCGCAGCGCTGCGATTGTTGTCTACACGCGCAGCCTCACAAGTTCCCATTGTTGAGTCTCGCCGGTCCAAACAAAAATAATTGTGTTATTTTTAAATAACACAATTATAAGTAACACAACATAAATTCAAAAATAATTGTGTTAGCTGCAGATGAGAAATTTAGCCAGTGCAGTACAACCGCTGGCCTGAAGACTTTAACTTGCACCACGCAGTAGTGATACACGACCGCACGCCGGTACGATGCTCATCCAGATCGAAACGGGCAGGGATGGGCACTGAGCCCAGGATCATGGGTTCTGGAGCGCGAGCTTTCGGTCTACGTGCTCCGAGCTGGTGTGCGCTAGCCCACTCGGCCACCGATCCCCATCAGTTCAAATGCTACCCTGTATTCTAGACTCTAGTACACTGGACTTGAGTTATTACTGCATTGGACACGAGCACTGCGTCACTTGGATGTATGCACTCGTCAACAATGAATCCATCGACGAACATTTGGATTCGCGTTCGTGGCCAATGAGTGCCGTGACGGCACTTTTATCACTTGCGAATGACAAGTTTCATGCTGTGATTGAAAAGCACGGAAAGAACCCAGTGCACCACAAGCACGTCACGACCACGTGATTTCTCATTTCGCTTTTGAGTTGAGGATTAAATTTGAAGAGGAAGAAGTTGAAAAAGCGTTTCATGACCCCTGTAAGTGTGCCCGTGGAACAAGTGTATTATTCACTAAAATAATCTGACGCCACTCACCCCGACTTTACCCAAGAGTTTCCTTACACACAGATGCAAATAAACGACGTATAGCCCATTACAATGCAGTTTCATAAGCCACAGTCATCTCGCATCATTTCGATGTCAGTCCTAAGTTAGATTGAGCTGATAATGCAATTAATGTAAAGGTGGAAGCGAGCTGGACAAGACTAACATAGCTGTGTTTGAAGATTTGAGTTTGTCCTTTGTTCTCCTTCTCCGCAGATTATTATCGTTATGTTTAGATTATGCCACAATTAAGTTCAGACATCATGCAATGGCATTTATAGACGTAGCTAAACTGAAAATCAGTGTGAATATCGAACACCACTAATTTCAACGCGTCCGTGGGGAAACTGTGCCATAATATCATCAGAGACAGTCACAAAAAAGAAACAAAAACTACGTTGGAATGATTGACAGTCAAAGGGAAGTCACGCAAGCTGGAAATCTTTAAATCTATTTATTCCCCACGCTGCCAGGGGCGTGCACGTTAAATACTCTTGTTAAAAAAAGAAAACACACACGGTAGAAGCGAGTTAGAGAGCTCGTCAATTGGAATTCAATCCAGCAACCGCGCTAGAAACAACAAAAACATGTTCTGAAAAAAAACAAAAAAACAAACAAACAAGCGCGGTGGGGTGTAGAGCACTTCCTCAATAGAGGGAGACAAAAAGAGGAAAACAAGACGAAAAAGCAAATAAAAAACTACATGATGGTAAACATTGAGACTGCGGAAGAATACAGTAAGATAAAAAAAAAATGGGATCACAAAATCTGGAAACCGATGACAAGCCAACCCGATTTGGGTAACGCTCCGCGCGTTGTATGCGGTCTCAAAAATCGGGCGCGAGGGAGAGAGCGAAGGAAAAGGCAACGAATGGAGATGGTCCGCAGCGAAGTTGAGGGGAAGGACAAGCCGCCGTCACGGCAGCTTGCCCCGCAGCGCATCCGAGACCTGGAGAGAAGCCCACCGGGCGCCTTGTGATTCAAATGAGAGTGGACGGCTCTGACAGGAAATTATTCCAGGGCCGCGAGCGTCGGCGGGGAGGCAGGGAAGCGCCTCCGAGCGTGCTGGGGGCGCCGTTCAGGGGGCTCTGGTCTTGTAGAAGCGATCCTCTCGCGCGTCGTTCTTCTTGCTCGGTGTTTGTATTTTATGTCCACGCACTCCGTTCTCCTCTAAGCTGAGAGCGCGGTGGAGGCTACTACGTGCTCGTTGGATCAGTTGTACGTCTGTCTTTCACCCCGTGTTCCGCTCCCGCCCATATCCACGAGCAGAGAGTGGAGTTAGGTGACGAAAGGAAGGCAGGTGACCGGTCCGGCAAGCACGTAATTCCCA